CCAGAGGAGAAAGAGTATGACCGTTAGTTCTCTGTCGTGCCATTTTGACGTGTTCTTCAGGTGGTTGCAGCTTGATATCACTACTGTCGAAGTTCAGGCAAGCTGTGAGGATTTGAAAGTGCTCGGCAAGGGTGACTTTAAGAATCTACTCAGGTGGCGGACTGCACTTCGTCAAGAAGTCAGTGGTACCGTTCTATTTCACTTGTTTACGGTCACTCACGTTTACCCATAGATCGGGTTAGATATCAAGGCGAAGGATACGCAGGATGTTACAGAGACCGTCGAGATCACCGAGGAAGTTGACGAAGAACAGCAAATTCGAAACGAGGTCTGTCCTCTGGGCCTATGATTTTTCATCTTTCTGACTCGTGTGTTAGCTCGAAAGATTGAACGTTGAGGCAGCTGCGCGTACTAAACGTGAACGTCGTCGTGCAAATGAGATAAAGACCAAGACAATCCAGCGAATGCAGTTGCAAATGACCGCCCCGTTAGATATCGGTCTCGAGCAAATCGATGCTTCACTAGGAGTAGGCCAAGAAGATATGTTCGATTTGACGGGCACCGAAAGGCAGCTGAGACACAAAGGCGGGATTGGGATCATACGGGTGGATGATGACACGCCGGAGGATGAGGACGAAGATGAGGTGGTGGCAGGGGACGATCAAGAGGATGAGGTCCTCGATTCTGAAGAAGAAAGGGATCGAAAGGCGTCACGGCTCGAGGCAGAAATGGATGGCCTATATGATGCTTACCAAGAGAAACTGAAGGAACGCGACTCAAAATTCAAGGCTAGAGATGCGAGACAGGGGAACAAAATGCTGGAGGAGTGGGGCGGAATTCAGGATGGCGAAAATAGTGAAAGCGACGAGGAAGGCGGATGGGATCAAATGCAGGCTGCAAAGGGGGACAATGACGATTCCTCAGATGAAAGTGACGACGAGGAACACGAGACGCCAGGCCGAAAGAGGAGAAGACCTCAAGCAACAGAAGTGAAGTCAAATAAGAAGGTCAAGCTCGTGACGAAGCTAGAGGAGCCAACCGCAGCGGGTCGTGCTTCCCAGGTATGGTTCAGCCAAGACCTTTTTGGAGGTGTAGAGGGTCTTGATGATATAGAGGGTGAAGAAGGGAAGGAGGAGGATGTGGACATGGCATCGGCGCAGCATGATGGTAGTGAGGAAGAATGGCAGGATGATGTACGTCCGAAGTCACTCATTTTAAGTTCTATGCTTATAAGATCACCTAGCCTGCTGCTTCGTCTGATGGTGACTTTGAAGTTGTGCCCCAGCAGCACGACGACGACATTGAAATGTGGGACGCTGAGGACGCAAACCAAGATGAAGCTAAGAAGGAACATATCAAAAGTTCGTGCGATGAGCACACCTGGTGTTTTTAATAACCACTGACCCATGTTCTAGAGTATGGCCTAACTACAGCGGAATCTGTGTCCATTGCTCAGCGATTAGTAAATCGCCAAACTACCAAAACGCATCTTCTTAATGACGGATTCAACCGTTATTCTCTCAACGCAAAAGACGGTTTACCGTCGTGGTTCTTGGATGATGAGGGAAAACACTACAAGCCAAATATCCCCGTGACTAAAGAGGCTATTGCTGCTCTGCGAATGCGTCAACGCGCACTAGATGCACGTCCAATCAAGAAGGTCGCGGAGGCCAAGGGGAGAAAGAAACTACGAGCAACACAACGGCTGGAGAAGGCGATGAAGAAGGCAGAAGGTGTGAATGAAACATCAGATATGAGCGAACGCGACAAGGCAAAGCAGATAGAGAAGCTTATGCGCAAAGGAACTGCAAAAGCAAACCAGAAGAAGGAAACTAAAGTGGTGGTTGCGAAGGGTGCTCACAAGGGAGTCCAAGGTAGACCAAAAGGCGTCAAGGGGCGTTATGTTATGGTCGATGCAAGGATGAGAAAAGAGGTAAATTTTTCGTGTGTTGATCTTGCAGATGCTGAGCGCTGACTGTTCAACAGACACGTGCCAAAAAACGGAGAGAAAAGGCAAACAAAAAGCGAAGATGAGCATGACCAACTTGCCACCATACTACAACCAGTTTCGTGCGATGCCAATGGAATTCATCACATCCATGATTCGAGAGCATCGATGATTAGTTTAGTGTATAGAATGATAGTAAGCTAAGGGACTGAGAGATCTGCCTTAAGACCCTGAGCAGGGATTGAAACGGTGCTGATAAGGTCACACGATGCGAGGAACCGAGTCCAAGCTTCACGACCTGCCGAGTTATCAAGCGTAACCTAGTTTATAAATGAGTCCACCATAAACCCGAATCTCATGGTCAACACACCTGACAAGTTGTAAACTTCTGGTTGCTCTCCAAGTCCAACACACTTTCTGTTATGACTTGTGCAGAAACAGACTGCTCCGCGTTACCGCCAGTGCCGGGTGTCTCAGTAACTTTGCGCACACTTAAGCTAGTCTGAAGGAAGTAGATCCGACCGCGAAAGTTGAGTGTAACAGGCGGTTGTGGTTGAGTTGCTTCTCGATCTTGAGACGTTAGACTGCCAATTATGGGGCGAGTGAGATCAAGTACGAAAAGTATGCTTGAGAGAAGCGCACAAATGTCGAAGTTGCTTCGTATAATCAACAAGCAGCGGAGGCTGGTCACCTGCACCAACATATGCGTGTTCAAAGACAGTGAATTGAACATCCATTGGACTACCCCAAAATTAGTCCATATCGCATTAGACTGGAAATTTAACGAACCGATCAGGCATCATGACATCCAGTGTGGATTCAACGCCTTCGAGGCACGTTGCTTCCGAAACGTTGACAACCACCTCTTGAGGGTTTTGCTCTGCGTACTTCAAAGGTCCTCCTGGAGTGGCCGAGTCCTGGGATGAATACAGAGAATTTGAAAGGTCATGATCGGCATCGAGTTCCAGAGTCAAGTCACCCGCCAATTCGCGATCTGAGTCACTGTGCTCAAGTGCTGCTGCTTTGGTCTCGCCCATGTTTGACGTCGAAAACTCCAATTCTAGCTTGATCAATTGCTGATGGAGACTATTCTCAAGCCGGGACTCTGGAAGCGTGCGATACAAGACGCGGTGAATGACTTTTTGGTTCGAAGGTGGCGAATTCAATAATGTAGCAGGAAGGCTGGAAGCCCAGATTAACATATGGTTGAGATGACTGTAGCATCAATGGACAAACCTGGGAACAAACGTGAGCGCAGTATTTGAAGTGTGCAACCATTTGAGAATTTTTGATAATGTCCAATTTCCCTTGAAAGGGGGAATAAGGACACTATGTCCGGTCGGTGATGCAGATCCAAGAACGATGTGTCCAAAGCTTCGGTGACGTCAAAAACAGCGCCCTTGATCTAGTGAGCACTTACGAGGCGGAGACGACTCTCTCGTGACCGTGGGTCTTTGGGGCACTGAGGAGCAATGCCTCAAGGTCTGTAGATTCCCTTCGAGAAGATGTCAGTAGAAATCCCGAGCTGGCTTAGGGGAGAAGCTAACTCAGTTTTGGTTACCATTTTTCCTTGCCCGCCTGCCAAACCACCTGTTTTCGTCGCATCTTCGACGGCAGTACCACCGAGCCAATCTGCAACTCTGCGGACCCGGAAAGATGCACCTTTCACCGTCGTCCAAGGTAAAGACCGAGGGGAGAGGAAAGGGTAGATAGAGTACGTATGTGGCATAAAGGAAGGCGCTACGGAATGCTCCAGTGTTGCCTTTGCTGGCACGTAGCAAAGGAGGGGTGAAGCATGACCACCTTGAGTCTAAGCCGTCCATCAGTCTAGCAGGATGGCCGATATTCATATAATGATGCAGCTAACCTCCGTTGAAGCACGGATAGCGAGTCGTTTTGCAGTGTCCATTTTGTCGGTGTCTTTAGCACAAATCCTGATCTAAGTGCACTTTCAATACTTGCTTAGATGACAGGTAGTAGAACCTGCCTTGCCCTTGTGGCCAAGGTTCTCCACGTAAGCGCCAGCAAGACGCGATATGCGTTGGACCAGGTCCTGACGAATAGGTTGTTTTGAAGGCAGTTCAATGATTTCATCAATAATACCCTCGAGGTAGGTTAGTTTCCTATCACTGACGTGAATTTCGCCAACCTTACCTTTTTCAGTTCACTCAAGTGTTCTGTGAGTTGCTTCATTGTGCCCCTGAATCCCTCCACTCGCAAGGCAAGTGGATTAGAAGCCAGCGAAATGTGGACGTTATATTGCATAGAAAGTTGCAATAAGTCGGCCCCATCTGGAAACATAGCCATTACAAGAGGAATGTCGTGAATTAATTAGACTTTACCTTTACCAAGAATGAGAAAAAGTTGACTTGGGTTGACAGAGAATGCTACGGAAGTCAGTTAAACATGTAAGCAATATGCAGAACAAAACTGACTCTTTATAACAACCTCTGTCTTGTCCCTCCGCCTTCTCTCGATTTCCTTCAGAGAGGGCCAGTTCCACTGCTTCTCCATAATGGATTCCGCATATTCTACTTTCCGTCTGGAACTACGCGTCCATATAGGGCCAAGGTTATACAACTCTGTAAAATTCCTTAGCTGGTCCTTGCTGAAAGACCGACACAGTGTGTCCAAGAGATTATTATACTCTTCTGCATATTTAGACGACTCCGGTGACGAGTGTCTCTTAGGTCTGCAGCGCTCTATGTCATCCAAGGTTGGTTCCAAGCCAGCAGCGTGTATTGAGGCGAGGTATAGGTCGACACGAGTCGGTTCTAGTGGATTTCGAGACTGTGAGGGTGTATCATTATCCACCAGCCGCCCTGCCTTTGTTTCTCCGGGGGCTTTGGGCAGATTTCGCGTTGTTGCCTTCGCTAGCGCATTACTAGGTCCAGCAGATAGTGTTTCTGTCTGCTGAAGGTCACTTATTGGAACAGCCGAGGTCGCGAACACTGCTTGTGACGAGTAGAGTCTGTGACGCTGCCAACGAAGACACGATGAGCACAGAGAGCGTGATGTCCGTAGTAGCGGAGACGACATTCAAAAAGAAAGCCCAGTGTTAGTCCACCCTACGGAACTGTCGGCGGGCAGAAAACTATGCTCTCAGTAACTCGGTTACACTCTATTCGTCCACTATTTCGTAAAGTCACACTCATGTCACGAATAGTAACGGACAGTGACACTGGCTGAATGCTTCACCTGGGGAAAGCCAGGTGGAATGCTTATGTTTGGCAGCCGTGACACCGATTCATTTTGTTGCCGTCACGCTGAACGGATTTGTTGTATCTCTTGGAATGTGCTAGTATAGTAAGTATGTAGGAAGAACATACTCCAGTGAAGTAGCTAAACGATCACTTTACATAAAATTGAGTGCTGTGGACAAAAAGTAGACCATCACGAATGGAGTCCAAGGACACCGCCAAGTAATGGCTTCAAGTATGTATTTCAATCAGAGTCTTTCAGTAGAACCTGCTTCAGCGACGTGGTGGTCTGCGAATGCTTTCTCATTGTCTTCACCTACCTCGCCTTCCCAACCATTGTCAGCGAGGTATTTCATGAATTTGGCGTCTTCGTCGGCGAGGTCAACCCCAGTCATGTCTGGGACGCAGAAATACGTGATCAGGACACCGGTTACACCACAAATAGCGGCAATGATGAACGTCCACCTTAGAAGGCAGTTTAGTGAGGGGATTCACATCAAGGAAAACTTCTAACGTACTGTTTACCCAGATTATTCTGTATGGGAGTGAAAGCCTGAGTGCCAATGGCTGCTCCAGTCTTCCCAATAGCAGCAGATAAACCGTAGCAGGTGCCGCTGTTGACTAGTTTGTACTTTGCACGGGATCACCTAATTGTTATGAATGACATACCGAATTGGAGTCGCATATGACTCCGAGCTCGTCAGACCAAGCATGTCACCGGGTCCCTAAGAGATGTAAGACGAAATGTCGCTGGGCTCATGAAAATTGCAATATACCATGTTTCCGACTGACTGCATAAGCCCATAGCTATGAGAAGCTGTCAGGTGGAAAAACAGGATTTAATGAGATAGCTCACAAAATGACGAATAATGGTATAATTTTCGTGATCTTGTTGTAAGCCAGTCCAATGATGAGGCCAAATAAGAGGTATCCAGAGAAGCCGAGCATCATCTAAATACAAATCAGTGTGCGCTTATGATCAAGGAGGTGCCACCCACCGTATTTCTTCGACCCAATCTATTACAGAGATAGGCACCCACGAAAACACCAGGGAGCGCGATTATTCCGAGAAGAAGTTGCCATTCTGCCGTCGCCTTTATGCTGCCGTCGTGGATGACGCTGGAAATAATGGTACCCGAGAAGACACCGTTAGGGAATGTGACCTAAGGAAGAAAGATATCATATTTGTGAAAAGTACAACCACAATACTTGGCTCACAAAATCGTAAAGGAACCTGGTTGTAAGATGAGATGCAAACCAGTGCATTTGATCCGAGAACGACTCACCAAGCCCCACAAGTTCCGATCAACTCACGCCAATAACGCTTGAATACGAGTCCATATGGGACGCGACCTAAGATCACATTAAACTTGAGGGGTATCAAAGCAGATTTATACATACGCTTGATAGCACCCTTACGGTACAGCTTAGAGCTCAGCATCCGAAGACGGAAGAAGAATACGGTCAAAGGGAGCAATATGCCAATGCCAAAGCACACGCGCCAGACCGTCTCTAGATGATTATCTCCAGCAGCCGATAAGACAATCAGAAACACAGATACAGCGAGGGGGCCACCAAACTGATTCGAATTGTTTAACTCTCCGTCAGAATAGCACGAGCATACGCACGGATAGAACAAAGTTCGTAACCATGATGAATACTGCTCGCTTCTTAAGATTATATATACTTGTGTTAATTGACACAAGCTTACCTGGACCGCGATTTGCCTGTGCCGTCTCATTCGCAGCTTCGCTGGCACTCGTGGAAGAAGCAGGATATTCACCTCCAACGCCCTAACAAAATTGATCATGGAGAATGCATCATGAAAAATTTGCATACGACACCCGTGATGCCTCGAGCGATAGTTAAGAACCAAAACAATCCCTGGGCGCTTCCGTGCGCACCGTGGGCCGCAGTACCAAGGATAGCACCAATGACAATGAGCAGGGTTGTCGAGACAAGGGCAACTTTGCGTCCCACCCTGTCACAGATCAAACCCACAAATATCTGGCCAAGTACAGCACCTTTATAATGTCGAAATAAGATACGTGCAGGCGCATTCCTACTAGTACCACCACTCACCAACTAACAAGGAATTTGAGACACGAGTGGACACAGTTGATGTGTAATCATTTGGGTATAATTCCTTGAAGATAACCTAGTAAATCAAATCAGAAACTTTCCTATTACCAGTGCCTGATGGTGACGAACGTTGCTCATCGTCATCAGATTATTTTGGTCTGTGATAGATAAGGTGACCAACTGTTACTTATCGGCGGTTTAAAGCCAAAACCTACAGCCGTCACTGATCAAACCAAACCCAGCAGCAAGGATGGTAAAATATGCACTGAGCGACTCTCTTCTATTGAGGTCATGTGCTGCAACCTTAATTTCCGCTTCGTGGGCCTTCGCAGTGACCTTACGAAGGTCACCGGTCTTCGCATCAACGGAATTGATATCTTTCTCGACAGACATACTGTAAGCGCCTAGAAGAAATCGAGTTGGTTGAAGAGGGAATGAAGGGCTCACGGCTCACTTCATAGATCCATCATTTTATGAGTGGATGCACGTGGTACAATAGTGAAGCTCTCGATGGAGGATTACTGTATGTTACATATTTAGTACTGTAAGTGTTCAGCGTGGACCACCTACATCCTAATACAGTATGCTCAGAGGCCTAAGGCCTACACGTTCAAACATCTAATCATCATTGATGAGAACAGGTAGAACGTGTCTCGGATGTCCCCACGCATAGATGAGCATTCATCCAGAGCACGATTGTGCCCCAAGGTGCTGTCAAAACGTTGTTTGATCGACTGCGCTGCCTTTCTCAGTGCAGGCAGCCACCAACCGAAACCAATGTCACAGAGGCTCGGAGGCATCATTAATACTCATTACTACGAAAGGATAGTCGCTGAGAAAAGGGATAACCTCTTATCAAAATTATGTAATTCACCCAAAAGGATACTCCGCTTGAACTTTATTTTTGTGAGGGCAGACCTTACTGCCGACGAGAGCAGCGAGCAAGATAAAATGGCCAGTCTTAACGGCACTTCACACAACTCTATCGACGATGAGCTTGATTTTTCAGACATCGAAGCCAAGTGCGGGCTTCTTGCGCTTTCAATTTAACTTCTGCTCATTTTCTTCCGCTTAGATATCGTGTGGACTTCGACGACGGTTTCGACAGTATAATCGTGGTTGACGGCGTACCTGTCATCGACAGGTCTAAGCTCGACAAATTACTCGCAAAAATCTCCAAGGAGTTCTCCAGGAAAGGGGCTGTGATCAAACAAGATGACATTTTCGTACCATGGGACGACAATGCAGGAAAATCCAAAGGGTACGCTCCTTCTAGCTCTATTGTTATACTGTTTGAGAACTAAAGTATGGTAGCTTTATCTTTGTTGACCTTGGAAATCCAGATGCGGCTGCCTTTGCGGCCGGCGCAATGAACGGACACCCTTTTGATGCGAAGCATACTTTCCGTATCAATCGATTCACCGACGTCGAACGCTATGCAAGCATTGATGAAACATACGTTGAACCTGCAGTAGAGGAATACCGTCCAAAGGTTTGACTTCCCTATCGTGATCAAGATGTTAGACTCACTTTCCAAAGGAACATCTCCGAGCATGGCTCGCTGATTCTCAAGGACGTGATCAATATGTGACTTACCGAGGCGATGACGTGGAAATCCATTGGCATGGGAAGCCCTCGCAGTGTGAAATTGCCTATGCAAAAAAGGTATGTGACCGTCCTAGTCATCATTGCTTCTGCTTAATTTTTTGAAAGAATTGGACAGAACTCTACGCCTCATGGTCACCGCTTGGTACATACTTCGCTACGCTTTTTCGTCAGGGTGTGCGCCTGTGGGGTGGACCATCATGGGAACCCCAACATCGATTTGCACATCCCCTCGTCAAATTGATCGACTTTTCTCCATGCGAAAATTACATCGTCACCTGGTCACATGATCCTATCTCAGTCCCCGCTAATCTTCCTCAAGGTCCCGAATTCTTTTCTCCGGAGGACGAGGGCAATAATATTGCCGTTTGGGAGATCAAGTCCGGTCACCTTCTTCGCACGTTCCCCACCACGGCTTACGAGAATGAGGATCCTGCGATGAAAAAACAAATGCAGTGGCCCGCCTTAAAGTGGAGTTCCGATGATAAGTTCGTTGCTCGTGTAACGCCAGGACAGCATATCAGTGTCTATGAGTTACCAACCATGGGCCTTCATGACAAAAAGAGTTTGAAAATCGAAGGGGTTGTAGACTTTGAATGGTGTCCCCACGGAGAGAAGGACAAGGAAGACGCAGAGAAGCCAGTGAAAGCCGAGAAGGGTGTCAAGAAAAGAGAAAACATGCTTGCTTACTGGACGCCTGAAGTTGCCAATCAACCAGCGCGAGTGACCCTCATTAATTTCCCGAGTCGCACTGTGCTACGACAAAAGAACTTGTTCAACGTCACAGAGGCATGTGTTGTCTGTCTTTTCTGTGATTGGTCCTTTATTAAAGATCGACATTCTAGTGTAAACTTCATTGGCAAAATCAGGGTGACTTCCTTTGTGTCAAGGTTGACCGTCACACCAAGACCAAAAAATCGATTTTCTGCAATCTTGAGATTTTCCGGGTCCGCGAGAAGGACTATCCCGTTGAAGTTGTGGAGTTGAAAGGTGCAGAGACCCCTGACCTTAACGGATCATTCACTGACATGTCATATAGACACAGTGACGGACTTCTCTTGGGAGCCTAAAGGGGAGCGATTTGCTATTGTGTCAAGCAACGATCCAAACCTCGGCAACCCTGGGCCAGGAATTACAATTAAAACCGACATCAGCTTCTACCAGCTAGATCGTACCAAGAATGATTTCAAACTGCTGCGTACGTACTATCAACATTGCCTAGCTTTGTCGTTTGACCTTTTTTACAAGGCACGCTTACGTCAAGGACAAGTAATACGATACGTTGGTCTCCCCGAGGCAGACATGTAGTTCTTGCGACAGTCGGTTCATCAACCAAGTCTGAACTCGAGTTCTGGGATCTGGATTTTAACACTGAAGAACGCCGAGAAGGCCAAAACGTAAAAGAAGAATGGGGAAGTGGCATTCAGCAACTTGGTTCTGCCGATCATTATGGTGTCACTGATGTGGAATGGGACCCAAGTGGGCGATACTTGGCCACCAGTGCAAGCGCATGGAGACACACGGTCTGTCGCATTTATGTTGGCCACTGCGCTGTACTGATCTATTTTGTGCTACATAGCTCGAAAACGGCTACGCTATTTGGGACTTCCGAGGACAAGAATTAGAAAAGCACATTCTTGATCGTTTTAAGCAATTCATTTGGAGACCGCGGCCCCGCAGTCTTCTTACAAAGGAACAACAGCGGCAAGTTCGCAAGAACCTGCGTGAGTATAGCCGTGCATTCGATGAGGAAGATGCTGCAGAAGAAAGCAATGTCAGCGCAGAACTTATCGCTCATCGCAAGCGCCTTCTTGACGAGTGGAACGCATGGCGCGCACGGTGCAAGCGAGACATTGCAGAAGAGAAGCGGAGTCGTGGACAAAAACTTAACGGCGAGCACCACGAAGAGGAAAAGGAGGAGATTGAGGAGTGGATTGATGAGGTTATTGAGCAAATCGAAGAGGAGGTCGTGGAGTAAATGTTTCGTTATTGAGGATGTATTTGGTCGGAGGTATACACGTTGCTTTCCCATGCGCATACCCCATGTAGTCAGTCTTCGTCCATGGGGCTGTCCAAGGCGGTGTTCCGTCAACACTCGATAGTTCTGTGTTACCACCCAACTGGGTTCCCGTCGGACTTCCCCACCGAATACCGAATCTACCGATCCAATATCTAATCTAACATTCAATTCCTCCTCGTGGTCGCCGCAGACGCTGAGCACTGTGGCTGCCGTTCGATATCGAGCAAGAACGCTTTACATTGAAGTCATAACCCTTCCAAGTTCTCCTGTTTCCTCGCTTGACGACGCCTGCCATTTGATTGGCGCTCATTTTGCAAGCATGGTACCTATTGGACCGTCACTGGCAGCCTCAACATCGGCATCGACGCTATGGGCAACAGGTAAGCTTGATTTGCAATTGCGAGCTACTTAGTTTCAATAAAACCATCTGCAGCGTCAAAGGAGTGGGTGATCCCAGCCAAACCCAAACCCGGGCGAAAGCCCAAGAAGGAGAGCTCTGCAGGCCCTCCAGCCCCAAAGGATGATGAGGCAAGTAATTCCCTATTGCCCTGCGCTTCAGATTGTTGACATTGATTGCAGGACTCGGAGTCTGCAGGTAGGCGTGTTCAAAACAGGTGAGGGGTTAGGCAGTTCTCTGTGACACCATCCGCTTATTCTCATTTCAGAGCCGCCCAACGCGCATTTCGCGAGCGCAAGCAGTCCCAGCTTGCTGAGCTACAAGCTCGCCTCCATTCTTATGAACAGGGAGAAATTGAGCGCAATGTCGCACTCCAGAACATTGCGAAGAAAATGAAGGATGAGAACGAAGAGCTCAGAAGGGAGAATCAGATGCTGAAAGAAAAAATCGCTCGTCTCGAGTGGGAAGCAGATTCAAATGATGGTGACAGAAAGAGGAACAGGGAGAATGTTGTGGTCGTGTCACCTAGCATGTCCCCTGAACGATCTATCCGCAGCAGCAACAAGCGAGCGAAGATGGAAGCTGAGGCGACGGACTCGCCGCAGGGCATGTCGAGTCATTTCACCTCCTATAGCCCTCCGTCTACTTCAATGGCTTCCTCTCCTGATGACGGAACTACCGCCAGCTTCTCCTCAGCAGGTCGTTCAGGACTTTTCCCCACACCCCCACCTTCCCTCACACACATGCTCAACTACTCTTCATCGGAGCCTGTCCCAGCATTAGATGCACTAGATACACAAGATTCAGTGGATTCTTTCCAATGTGTATTGTGCAGTCCAGAGGTTCCTTGCGTCTGCAGGGAGATGGCCATGCAGCAAGCCATCACTGACACTGATTTAAGCCACGCATCACTCAAACCGAAACATGATCACTCTGCCGCCATGTCACCTATGGACCAACCCACGCAGCTAGGGGCATCTACATCTTCCCAGATGAATATACTCGAAAACCTCCCGGCATACCAAGCGCCTGTCCCAATACGTCGACGAATGCCCGGTCAGAGCACAAACCCAGTCTTCTCTGTGACTCCCATTTCGGTCCCACCGTCATCCGCCAAATGTTCAGGTGACCCTGCTAATTGCTTGGCATGTTCAGATGACGCTTTCGGAAAGGCGTTCTGCCAGGCAATTGGACACTCCGTCAATTCGACGTCACCGTGCATCGACTGTCCTCGACGAACTAACCAATCTGACAAGATCGTCGTCGGTGGTTGCTGTGGAGACATCATGAAGTGTGGGTCTTGTGGCATAGCGCCCATGATTTCGTCCACGGAACCTCGCGCTGAGACGTCGATACCGACCGACGATGCTTGGCGTCAGCTCAAGTCGCACCCAAATGTCGCATTCGCAGATCTGTCATTATTGGCCGAAGTGGTTGCTCGTAGATCCAAGTGCACTGGCTCACGGGTGGTAATATCACCGGCGCCAGGATCCATCACGCCTGAACGTAGCACACTCATGGCAGGACATTCTCATCAGGGTGGATCCACAGCACCAGATCATCATTCGGTGCTACTGACGGATCCACATGAGCGATACCGTCAACAGCAAAGAGAGCACTCCTCGCCACTAAAGCTCGTTCCGCAAGAGGTGTTGATCGAGTGTGGACGTCGAAGAATGCGGGAGGTAAATGCAGATGGTGTCAGAGAAGCACTCCGACTACTAGATTCTAAGTTTGCACATGCTCGGTAACTCATGCTTGTGGATATTCTGTATGTAATATGTATTAACCGCGTCGTGTTACGAACATTCATCCCAACTCGCATAAATGAGTTATTCCTATCCCTCTTTATGTGAATATCCACCGTGTCTATCAAGCCCATCGGAAAGCGACCCTGACCACTGCTCAAATCGCATCCACTCCGTTTTGATTGTCCTCATCTTCCAGTGCAGCAGACGTTGTTGACGCATGGACAATTTGCGTCTCCTATGTTCCGGGTTCAAGCTATAGGAGCGAAATGTCACGGCTAGTGTGCGAAGATCGGCATGCTCCAGCTCGGAAGGAAATGGTTGAACTTGTGCCCACATTTCGCGTAGGACGCGTCTTGCTACTGAATATGCTCCCACAGCAAAATATGCATGGGCAACTGCGTCGATGGAGGGCACATCAGGAACAATACCAGCACGAATCATTGCACGGAAAGCCCGCATGGCTTCCTCTGGCTTTCCTCGGCGACCATAGCCATTGATGAGAATGGTGTACATTATTACATTTGGCTGGATGCCAGCCTCAAGTGCATCTCGAAGCACTTGTTTAGCGCCTTGGATGTCACCCATCTTCGCGTACCCGTCCATAAGCGTTGAGTAATGGTGGATGGTTGGATGAAGCCCTTGATCCAACATATTTCGGAAAGCAGTTTGGGAAGTCCCCATGTCAGACCCAGCAACTGCCTCATGCTTCAGCCTAAGTGCAATTGTAGCACGATCACTTTGAACAGCCTGCCGGGAGACCGACTGCAGGATCGGTCCAAACCAGGATTTCAACCGTAAACGACGGGGAAGTTTGAGACCGGCTGTAGGATGATAGTGTTCAGTGGTGTCCAGAATACGTCCCTCCGGGAACTTTGGCTTGTAAGTTCGCTTCTTGGAGTACTTGGCAGCAGTCGTGTCCCACCCACATCCGTGAGCCATAAATTTCTCGCGACGAAGGATACTCCGCAGGATGATGTGGATGTGTCGGATGGTAGGTCGAAGGGAAGGGGATGAAAATGAACGAAGGACACGTATCAACTGACGAGGACCGGTCCCTTGTGCTCGTTCGAGGAAACTCATAAGAATTTCCACCGTGTGACTATCAGGACTGATCCCAACAGCACGCATCGTCCGCAGGATATCTCGCACCGCTTTAAGGCCCACGATGTCAAGTAATCCGCTCATTAGTGCATTGAATATATGCGCTGTCAAGGGAACACCCCGGACATCAACCGGAAGTGTTGTCAGCGGTTGTACCTGCATCATGCCACAGAAGACCTCAGCAGCAGCAGCAGATCGTATGTTCAGCAGTATGGCGACGATACTAATGGCTTCACGACTATGACCTGCAGCTAGATATCCTTGAATGAGGGCTGCTAGAATGGAGGGATCTGGATGGACACCGGCTCGTTTCATGTGGTCCAGGAGTTTGAGCATGCGAGAAAGTTTGCCTTCTCTTGCCATATAGCGCAATAGAATTGAGAAAGTAGCCGCATTGGGCTTTACAGCAGGGGAGTCTACCGGAGCGTGATCGCCAACGAGCCCGGTGGTACTGCCAGATCCCGTGGGATTTCGGCCGCGTCCACCAGGAAGATCGAATGCAAGAATAAAACGTGCTGCTGCTTCTTCGTCCCTCGAGTCTAGAAGCTGTTGGACGATGCTGTTGAGTACAACAGTGGACTGCCGCCCATCTAAATCGCGTAAACCCTCGAAGGCACGGATTTGTACCTTCAGGTCTACTCCGAGAGAACGATAGGCAGCGACGATGACAGCATGAGTAGAAGAATCTACGGGGAACCCAGCGACAGCCATCTTCTCCATGTACTGCTTTGCAGAATTCAAATTTCGGTTCCGAAGGTGACCTGAAATGAGGAGATGGAACGTTCGCCTGTTTGGTGGGAGGTCTGCGTCTGTGAACTCCTCGAATGCGTGGTCGAGCTGATCGTAACGTTGATTCTCTACGAAGGCGCGCATATTCCAATTGAGGAGTCGGACCGATGCACGGCCACAATGGTGCCTGGCAGTTGTAACTAGCAGGGGGATCAAATCCCAATGGCTTCGGCTTGCTAGATGATAGGCAACGCCCTCGTAATGATTTGGTTTCAAGTAACAGCCAAAGTGATGAGCAATATTCAGAATTTGTAATGCTCGTTGTGGACGTGAAGTCGCGACCGCGTCCTGGGCGAGACGATTGACACACTCCCTGTTGGTAAAATACCGAGAGTAGATGGGAACGTTCTTGATCTTTTTTACAGCTTCGCAATCCACCGACTCTCTCGGATGCGCGAGACACGTATCGATGGCAGCTACCACTTCCTGCGGGTAACTGTCCAGAGTTCCTGTGGAGGAAGATTGCTTGGCTTTCATAAAAGACTGTGAGTCTGGGCTGCGATAATGAGATGTGCCAATATAAGCATGGGCGGGATGAAAATTTCGTTTTGCACTGGTCTGACAGTCTGGTGGATGTGCCTGGGAGTGAGTCACTGCCCGAGTGGAACATGCTGTATGGTGAAGTTGACAGACGGAATGAAATGGCGTTCCGAGAGCAATGTGGCGGCCGATTCGGACGGCTTGCTTGAGATGCTGCCTGTGAATGGGGCTGGCTCCCCCTAGCATCGACAGCCAGAATTGGGGGGGCTGTGAAGCTCGACCACCGTGACTGAAAGTAAAATTTTGGTGAGCGTTGAAAGTAAACGATTTGAATGCAAGGATCTTACAGGAATTGCAGAGTCGATGATATGGACTCTCGAGCATGCAACAAACGTCCGGAGCAAAAGGTTGTTCAATTTCAATCGGTAAATTCCGGTATGCGACGAATGAACTTTGTACACTTCTGACCACCACCAAAGCAATATTAATATTCTATATAACTGTTCTCGCAACGCGGTACAAATGAACTGTCTATCAACAGGTGACCTGTGAGTGACATCAACGTAAAAGAGGGGGGAGATGTCGCATTCGAGATGAGTGCTCGCCGGCTTATCGACACAAAGGCGGAAGAAAAATCACACTGATGAACTCAGTGCCCGATGGAGGCGGCGGGCCACCTTACTCTAGAGTCGAAACACCCAACGCCACCGACTTGAAAGTGTGAGTTTCATGAACACGCTGAATTCTTCGACGACGTGCGTGGACAGGTGAACCTACAGCGTCCCAGCGGTGATCTGTTTCCGGGCATTTGGAATATGGACCAGATGTCTCCCGCGATCATAGGCATAACAAGTGATAGCGGGTGATTCAGTCCGTTTGTCCGGGTTTCCTCGTGCCTAATAGATTGAAGCGAGCGAGCGTCTAATTATTGAAATGTGTTCCAGCGGCAGACGAGCGGATGCGTGACCGCACGTTGGTACCTTGGCATCGCCAGTACGCTTGATCTGTTTAAAACTTTACCTTGTTCGGTTTCGATGATAGGGAGGCGATTGAGTTTCTTCCAAGTGGCTCAAACGTTCACCAGATGAACTGTGTAACGCATCGAGAATTATCAAGGTACATACTACTTGTTACCTTGTCGGTTATTTAAATCTACAGCCTGTCTGAGGAGTGAGCCTCGAGCGGGACTGCCATGCCGTCGGACTGAAGAGCTCAGAACCCCTGAAGCACGTTAAATGCCACTTGGTGTAGCGAACGGGGTGTGATCTGGTTCGTGTTCGCCACCGCTCATTCAATCTGGTTACCGCTTCAGTTGACAATTCATAACGAGTCATTCGGTTTCACTCCGGCATAGTGATGGAACAAGAACTAGTTGCTACGATGGTAAGAATACAAGGTCAGTGATTGGAGCCAGGTAATATCGTAATAGATCAAAACACGGTTTAGTTCGGGCTGTACTTAACACAGTCTCTTCAGGTGCTTGGTAAAGATAAATCATCACGTGATCTACTAACCTCCGTCCATGGCGGAACGCTCTTTGCCATATCCCATCCAGTGTATCGCACACTCCGAATCCGATGCGCGATGTAGTTTCATTTCAGAGCCGAGCTACCACGAGATGCTAGGGCCCAAATCTAGCGATCTCTTCCCCTGGAATTTGGAGTTTTCAATTTACTTTCAGGGTCTGACACGGCGATCTTCGTCGCCCGTGGCGTTTCTCAGGTCTGATCTCCACTCCATGACTTGGGTTTCACTTGTCTTATCCTTTTTTAGCGCTAGGTTATACGTTCAACTCGCACTGCAGTGTCCCGATCGTTTCAATATTTGACCTATCGCCGTGACTTGGAGGCTATCCGCAACACGCCTAACAACGCTTTACCATCACCCGCATTCGTAAAAAACTCCGTACCGGGTTATCCTCTGACGCAAGGCTTGGGCCTTCGTACAGCATGTATATAAAAGCCCCCCCGGCCAAAAATCCTGTAGTCATCTCACCTCCTCTCCTTGATGTCTACTTACCTATCTCACCTCACAGTCCTAGAACACAGTGCTTCTTCCTACCCAGACGCTCCGGTCTTTAGAGTGCCCCGATCAGATCTATCAACTGGTCAGGTACATGATTGGTCGTCAATAACTTACAGCCAGTTCAAGGATGATGTCGAGTTCACTGCTCGGTATTGGCGTCACACACTCGAGTCTGACGGCGTACCAGAGCATTCTGTCATAGGTTTATGGTATGTCTCTCGAACCCGCTCTTTAATCTAGGTCGCTGACATAGTAACTGCAGGCTACCGGGAATGGCATACCAGGATGTTCTCCATATCTATGGCCTTTCGCGAGCCGGATATGTCCCTCAGCTCTTCAGCATTCGTTTGCCAAATCCTGACGTTGTACTTGAACTGCTCAAGAAGGCAGGCTCGAAAGCGTTGATATTAGATTCCCAATTCCAGTCATCGACTGCATCGTTCCCCCTTCCCGTCCATCTCGCGGTCAAAAAGCGGGACATGGCACCTTTCGAATATGACCTTCCTCCCATACGATCCACCAACCCTGACAAAGCGGTATTTATTTTCCACACAAGTGGCTCTACGTCAGGCAGCCCCAAACTCGTCCCTTGTAATTCTGGCTGGCTCGATGCGATTGTGGCGAAGGCTAAGGTGACCAGCACTCCCATAAGTCCGTGCAGGCAAGATGTTTCCGTTTGGATGTATGTACATTATCCCGTATTGTCCTTCCCTTCCTAACTCTTTTCCAGGGGCAGCATGTGTCACATTGCTCAAACATTCAGTGAGCCCTGCGTTGAATCGTTTATGCTTTATTTTCTGACGTGATTCTAGTGCTCATTGGCGCTTTGCAACACGGGTCTTGCGTGATTCAGCCGACAAAAATTGGGTTTTCTTCAGAAGAATTGATCGATATGATCCACCGCTGCCAGCTCAATCGCCTGAATCAGTTTTCCACATTCCTTTCCATTCACCTTCGCAACTCGCGGCAAAACCGCAAACTTCTTGGTTACCTTCAAAGTCTCGATCAAATCCTAATCAGCGGGTTATCATTACCTCGGGAGGATGAGGAGTGGGCACACAAAAATGGATTGAACATGAAGGTGGGATTCATCGGAGCATTTTTTCATCCTCAGCCTGACCCTATCGAATTAGAACCTCTTCGGCAGCACTGAATGTGGTGCGATGCTCCTATCTATAGGTGGCAAAGGCCGGGATGCACCTCTTCTTCGTCCTATACCGGGAACATATTACGGCTTTCTACCCATTGATGCCGACACTCAGATTGAGTCAGGGCACAAGACGTCAGCCCAGATGTTGGAGCTTGTTATTCTTTCCAGCTCTGGCGACTGCCCGGACGCGTCTTTGCGCGGTAACGACGGTCACTTCCACACCGGTGATTTATTCCAAGAAATTATGCCTGGATCATATGCATTCCGTGGTCGCAACGATGACTGGATCAAGAGCGAAAATAGCTTGCGGTGCGATACAAAGTACGTATGACTTGCTATGCGATTTGGAGCCATTAATTTACGATGTTAGAGCGATCGAAGATAATGTTCGAGTCACCTGCGGTGACCTCATCGAAGAATGCATTGTCGTGGGAACCGGGCGTCCGTCACCCGCTCTTTTTGTTGAGCCTGCTCCTGGTGTTGACCACGGGAAGCTCAAGCGGGACATCATCCGCAAAACTCGCCAATTTCACTCCCGGCGCTACCTCCATGAGCAGATCACGAACCCGAATTTGATTGTTGTAGTGCCTTCGGGATCCCTTCCTCGCACTGCAACTAAGGGCAACATTCGGCGTAAGGCTGTTGAGGAGGCATACCAAGCCGAACTCGACAAGATCTACGCCTCTCTGCAGTAATGCAGTCCACCTATATCTTATTTTAATTGAAGTAATCGTCTTGGACCCAACTTATATCTATACCTTGTTTTATTAACGCTACGCGCAACTAGCTATGGAACTAACTCGCAATCGACAACTGTAGCAGCACAACTTATATTAATCACTACATCCACTACACAAGTGGAAGTACCTAGTCAAACCGTATATAATGTCAAATACCTTAGTATCAGCGGACTAACAATCAAAGAAGTTGCGAAGAGCATCACGAGTGTCTGATATGAACGTTTTCGGGTGTGATGCAAAGAGTCAAACGGGTAATCTCATGCCTTCCCGTAGTCCTGACAAGACCCGTAATTTCCCCCTTTTGTACCATACTTCTACGATAATCTACTTCCTGTTGGATGGCATCACCCAGGGAAATCTCTGGGGCAAAAGGAGGTATCGATACCGGGAATAAGGTGACGTGGTGCGTAAGGGGAAGCGGCATGGGCGTTGGTGGAAGATCGTCCGTTATTGAACTGGGCAGAGCGCTCGTGTCAAGGTTTTCAGAGTGAACAGGGAATGAATGTGAGTGCTGCTTGTAGAACGTCACCGGTCCACTGGATTGCGAGGCGAGATTCAGACCCCAATTGGTCAATATGATGAAAGGGGCATGAGACAAGCGAAGTCGACCAAGTGCCGTGAGCACATGCTGGAGTGGGTTCACTGATGAAGGTTCTAGTTCCCTTTGGGGCACGTTGCGCATCTGCTCCGCGATGAAACGGTCGGTCCAATAAAACGAGCTCATTGAATCCACGGCAATAAGGCCTATTTCGTGTTCTGGTATGGAGACCTTGTGATAGGATGGAAGATGTAAAAGACTGGTGGCGAGTTGGAGGAGCGAAGTTGGCCGAAAGACATGTAGACGGTGCAGCGATTCCTCAGTTAAACGTCGTGCCATCTCGATGTTGTGAGGGAGAAAAAGCGACAAACGGGCCAATAGCAACTGATGGAGTCTTGCGACATCAAACGATGCATCTGTGTCATAGATGACTGCAGCCAATCCATTCCCCCCAAAGTCGATGGACATTTGCCTTGACGGAGCAATGCAGAGCAGTACGAAATGATACAAGAGATGGGTTTTCCCTGATGAAGCAGGACCCTGAACCTCTATGACATTTCCGCGGCTGAGGGATGAAAGCAGCGGTGCAGGCGCTGAGATGTGAGGCGGAGCTGACTCGGACGAGGTTCGATCACAAAAGACATCAGATGGGGCGATGTGCTAGATCTCACCGTATGCCCTTACGGAGGAAAGCAACTAATTATTGATTGAGCTAAGTTACCCTTGACGACGGAGACAGTGAACTTACATTTTGAAGGGACTCTCGAGGAATCTCATTTAGCAAGGAAGCCATCTGCGTTCGAAAGTGAAATGTCAATCTCGTACACCTAATGTAACGGACTTACTGAACTGAAAGATGCCGTGGTCGATGAGAGCCACTTACTACTCGATTTAAGACGTTTGTACTATCATGTACTAGTGCCGCGGCGGTGTTCTTACCACCCACCTACCCGTTCTGGATTTGAAAGATATGGTTTCGCATGAACAGTTTAACCAAGCACATCTCACCAAGCACATACATACTCACAGCGCATCAACTTACAGCTGGCCTGCAAGCCAGATTCATGTACCAATAGCTTTCTAGGGCGTTCAGATACCAGCGTTACGCCACCCTGAACTCATCATGAATACCAGTAGCGCCCCAACTTCTCGGGCCACTCCACCGGGTTTCAGACGCTCATCTGGTATCGCAACGTCGCCTCCCCCTGCGAAGAGCCTTTCTATACCACGTCCAGCTCTGGCTTCTGTTCGTGTCCCAAATTCACAGGGCGCAGCAGTATCACGCCGCTCTTCTACGAAAGCAGCACCAACAATGGGACCAGAGTCTCGCGAGTCGCTGAATGTTGCTCTGAAGCATGAGACCGAAAAGAAGGAAGAGGTACGTTCATAATTCTGAGAGAGAGTACTTCACTGACCGCCACATCAGTTGCTCGTCGAAGTCCAAAATAAGGATCAGATGATTGCCAGTCTGACGGCTGAGAACGACAATGTCATGTCTGCCTTGAATACGACAGAATCTCGCTTGAACGAAATGTACGTTGATCAGGCGCGGATGGAAGAGGAGATGGCGGCCCGTATCGAAGTCTCTGAAAAGCTGCGGGCACAAGTCAGGGAGCTTGAACGGGAGAAGCGAGATTTGCAAAGGCGATATAATGAGCAGGTCCGTTTTTATCTCTTCTCGCACTTCATATACACATGGATGATCGTAGACATCAACATTCGAGGCAGAGCGACAAGCATCTTATGACAACGAACAGCACCTCAGATCACGGATTCAGTCCCTGACGCAAGCCCGCAAAGTTGCTGAACCGCCCCGATCTGCTGATGCATCCCTTACTACGGATTCTTCTCACCCCGATCCCCTTGACACCGACGTTGAGGCGGAGGCGGAGGCATCAGAAGTTGCTATCCCTAGAAATCGCGAGGAACACCACTATTCTACTAAGCAGGACCTCAACGATCCGGAAAGCGAACCGGCTGAAATGACTGCTCTCAAACTTGAGCTCTCGACACTATCAACATCTTATACATCCTTGCAAAGTACTCTCATACTTTTGCAAGTACAGCTTGTGGATCTGAAGAGAGTGAACAATCAATTACAAGAGGACAACGAGAGCTACATGATCTTGTTACGAGAGAAGACGTTAAGCGGCCAATTTGATCTCTTAAAACAAGTCGGTGGCGCCCCAAACACGACGGACGGCGGCTATGATGACGATGAAATGATGGTAGACGATGCAGGCAGTCTTAGGAGTACGGACAGGAGCGTGTTAGACAGGGTCGAGGAAGAGATGACGGAGGATGATGATCTGGAGGAATGTTTCAGATCTGATTCGCCATCTTCAAACCGTCATGGACGTCATGTGCGCAGGAGTGACTCGGCGTCACATTCTCCCCCGCGCGGAGAGTCTCTCGCCGACCTCCCTATTACTGGTCCAGGACTTGACTTGGCTGCTGAACTTGGCCGTGCTGAGAACAAGGACATTCTCTCCGGAGATTCCATCGATGGCGATCGAGCTCTTGGTGGCAAAGGAAAACGAAAGAGGGTATCTGCGGACACCAGAAAAGTCTCCACTTCTGACATACCAGACTCAAATGCAGACCTCGAAGCCCTGCGATCAGAAGTCAAGACTCTCAAAGATGCCAACAAGGCACTGTCTTTATATGCGTCCAAAATCATCGACAGAATCATTGCAGAAGAAGGCTTCGAGCATGTCCTTTCAGTGGACTATGAGAAGTCTCCGACCATGCATTCCAAGTCTCCTTCTCTGGGTGTAATAACCACTGCCAGTGCACCAGCGAAGGCATCCAAACCTCGACCACAATCAACCTTTTTCTCTCGAGCAGCCTCGGATTCCGCTCCCACCCCCGCTCCCCCTCCCGAGAAGATGCCATCGTCACCACCTCCCATTTCCGACACCTCTGCCCCGAAGACATCTCAACGACGTTCTATGTCCATCGACTGGAAGAACTTCTCTTTGTTTGGCGGCGCAGAGAAGAAACCCGAACAAGCCAATTTGCGACCTCTCACGCTGAAATCAACTTCCACACCCATGACCAGCGCACGCAAACTGGAGACCCATGAAGATGAGGAGGATCGGCGGGAAAGAGAGCGGCTCCATGCAACCATGAAACTCATGGGTATTGAGCAACCTGCTCCTTCTCCATTGGTGTCCATTCAAAAGAGTTATTCGACCCCCGAGAGCCCTCAGACTGCTACAGCCAGTCGCTTTTCAATCTTTAGGTCACGATCCACTACTGGTCATTCCGATACTTCGTCTGTTAACTCCGGGCCTTCGACACACAATAGTCATCAAGCAACGTATGGACTTGGCATCATTAGTGACGGGCGGTCTGGACTTACGCATGAGGCTCTGGAGCAAGCGGAAGCAGAGAACTCTTTGGCAGCATTGGATGCGCATGAGCAAATGCTCATCGATGAGATTGCCAAAGGTAGACCGGGAGGTTTTACTGAACCCCCGAGGAGCCTTGGGGAGGAGTGGAGAAGTCGCAGAAGCAGAAGGAGCGGAGGTGGGAGTAGCAGTACAGTTTGGAGTGCTGGAATGAGCCCCACAGGGGATGAGCCAGATACCTGAGTCTGAGCTACTTTTTGTATCACACTGCATATACCTTATTTATGCATACCATGATATATTTGTGCCGTGTTGCGAATAGACAACTTGTGGATTTCATACGATGTCGAGTGTTAAAACGTTAATGTTTGATTCACACCTGCAAAAACCTTATCTAATTGATGTAATGGAGATTTTGCAGAGGTTGTAACCTCTTGTACGATGATACACGACTCCACGATGGTTTAGTTAATGAAAGGGGACTGATGAATCGATCAACCCCGAGCTCATGTTGTCGTGGCGTCAGTCGCGCGCGCATGCAGTGGCGGTCCTGCAAGGTCGTGAGCGTCATGTCCGCGTTGTACACACTCAGATACTTGCCTCAACGCTGTTCTGACAGCTGTTGCGATAGGGTTTGTGGTCCAACAGTCAATGGCCCGGGTAGGGCCCAAATATGATAATACACGAGTGAGTTTTTCTAAAAGCAAAGAAAGCGAGATGGAAATGCAAAGCGGATCCGGCAACACGAGCCTGTACTGTACAAATTGCACTATCGAGTATACCCCTGGCTGATGATAGAGGCCAGATAGCTGGTTCCTACAAGGAGAAACCGTTGCCTCATCATGAAATTCCGCACGAAATATAATTGAAACGCAAACATTAAGATACTTACGCTGACCCGATGGACATGGTTTTTTCACTGGGAACTTAACAGAACTTGAAGAACCTCGATAGAAACCTATCCAGTTGTGTCTCGCTGAAACACAGTGTGCCATGTTCAACGAAAGGGGTCAAAGTTAGGAGTGAAGCAAATGCATTGTGAACATACGGGAAGAGACAGGAAGGTGCAGTCTCCGGGGTTATGCTGGGCAGGCGATTATCGATGTTCATTATGACCAGTGAACTCGAGTGTCATGGAGACTTTTGTGGAGGTTGGGTATTTGATGAAAGGAAATAACTTTGACGGAACTAGACGAGACCTTCGCGAAATGACGGGAACAGAAGCAAGAGGTATGCCATGCCATCGGTCGGGGAGGGAAAAACGTCACGGGATGTCAACGTCAACTGTGCGCCTTTCTCGGAATGTGCCCGCTGAGCGTTTATGCTTCAATCAGCAAGCGGCTTTGCTGTCAAGTTCTGCAAGATCACAAGTTCCCCGTGCTGCCAGATTCAGGAATAACATAGCAAGTCCAAGATGACAAACGAGCGGCGAGCAAAGCAGCAATGCTTAGCAAGATACTAGTGCAGGCCTAGACATTATCTAAGGGTTGCAGTTACCTGGAATCAGTTCCTAGTTGTGTCCATAACAACCAACCAGTCTGGTCATCAATCATTCAACCACCGACCTATGAAATAAAGGCACGATCACCTAATTTGGCATGCTGCAGAATCCTGGCGTATGGCCATAGCAGATTGTTCCTGTGGTGTTCGAGGACGGATCAGGAAAATACAGGTTCCGGACCACAGTCTTTGAAGGGCTGTGAACATGATCTACGACAACGAACGTGCACAGACACGAGGCAAAGGTATCTTGATTCGTCTGAGATCGTATCGTTGGAAATCGTAAAGCGGCGACAAATGAAACTGTACTCTCCATGCAGTCTAGGAACATCATAAAAGGAGACAGATTCATGCTCACCAGTCTATCGTTCCTTTTATCAATACGAACACACCGCTGACATAGTGATTGGTTATATATCCCAAATGATCACACTTGGAAATTTGTGCCATAACACAGCACACGGTGCTACTTGGCACTGTCGGAAGATATACAAGTCAGCGCTGTCAGTTTTCATATCGCACACCTTTGTTCTTAAAATCTGACGCGCACGTCCTTAATGTGCATACGACTGGAATGAATGTTGATATGTAGAAGGGTTTGGTTCGAATGGGCATACTCACGTGCGCCACCCAAACCCATATCCATGCACTTCCCGAACAATGAATGTGCTAGATAACTTCCCCATGAAGAAGCATATATGTCGTTGACATCTTACGTGGATGGCAAACATCGGAGACATTGGCATTACACCAGTGGTCGTGTACCATCCATCATCACCGTGAAAGTCTTGGAATATCGGGTATAGTCATGAATGTAGTAGTAGACTCTCGTGCATTTAGATTATCGTACATTGAAGTTATTGCGCATCTGGGACATCAACACGCTTCACGAGTGTATTCTGCGCATGAGTGCGGATCGTCTGAAATGGATTTGACGAGTACTGTGGATTTGAGAGTATCAATGGCTGTCGAAGTTTCTCAAGTTCCCTGGAAAGCGGATTAATAAGAGTATATAAGAGTGAGGAAATTGTATGAACTCACAAAGCACGTTTTCGCTGGTTCTTCTTTAGCGGTATTCCCTTACCCTCTCCAATCTGAAGCGTTTTGGTTTGAACTTTGTGAGCGCGAGCATCCTTTGTCTCCTCAGCCGCTGGGCTGCCTTGTTCTGGCGAGTCACTCATATCAATGGCAGAAAGAACAGCGCCAATGGCATCAAGTCCGCCGCCGACTTGTTCTCGTTGCCGTCTATTGAATCGGCGTCTCTGCACTTTCGAGTATGGCGATGTTTTCAATTTCAGTTCTAAAAGACAGGATGAGAAGAGGAGTGATGATTGGAAATATAGAGCGTACTTTCAATGAAAGCTTCGTGTTTGAGCTGCTGTTTCTCTTTCTTTTTTATTGATTGACGAGGCTGAGTAGCTGCTGTGGACATTTCTTGCAATATTACTTCCCCCTGACGAGTGTCGAGATTAAGCATAGGAATAGATTCAAAATTTTGTCATAAGACGCACTGAAATCTCTGCCGCGGCACCTACTTCGACCGCTTCAACCGCATTCTCTTGCACTGCAAATTGTCGCTGGGCGGGCTTAGCGGAAGGTTCATGGGCTGAAATGCGTTTTCTGCGCTCTCTAGGCTATAATGAATATCAGTGAGATGTGTAGTAGTGAGGCTCATTGCCCACCATCTTGATAGATTTGAATCAAACGTCCACTGGCAGTACATGACGTAAGATGCAGAAAGCTTCTGATCCTAATAAGTGTAAACAGATACTAGGGAGGAATGAAACGAGACCCTTCCTTCTGACAAGCAATTTTTGCCGGTCCTCGAGTCACATGTGCATGAGCATCGAAATCACACAATTTAGCGATATCAGCGGTCTTTGCACCGTTTTATCCGGATCCCGGAGTATTACCCTCGAAGACCAAAAAACATATATTTAGTGCTCTAAGTTTGGATCTAATCTAAGCAGTACAGTCAATAGAAAATGAACGGAACCGTGCGACAATGTCGCTTCCAAATAAATACAACAGTACCCAAAGATGGACTTTGCATTTAAGAGGATCTTAGTGCTCAAGCCGAACTCGGGACTGCTGGGCGCAAGCGTTGTCCACGAAATCATCAGAAATAAGGTCGCCACCCTCGCTTGGCTTTGCGTTCTCGACGCCGACTGCAATGAAGGCTATAACAACCAGGAGGGCACCTGCCAGTACTTGCGCAGCGGCAGGCTTCCCAAGGAAGGAGTCCCCGATAACCGCGACAGGAATGGTGAGACCAAGACCGACTGTCACCACTAAAGGCGTGGTCTTCAGCATCGCAATGACGTATAGGTAGTCACTCGATAAGGTGATGAACATCTAAACCATGTAAATTCCCAACACTGAGACACAGACGACGGAAACTCACATTCAACAAGATAATAACAATAGCATTATGGGTGGTGGGTATCTCAAAGCGCTCCATTCCAGCCAGATGCAGGATGACGCCAATAGGCCAGGATAGAACTATGTTGAAAAATCCCACAAACCCAAAGAACAGTTGCATGTCAATTCTCGACTCTTCCCTAATCTGAACCTTGAGGAAGACGACGTAGAGAGCATAAAACACAGCCGACATCAAAGCCAAGAAGTCTCCCAAAACTGGTAATGAGGTGGCAGCCTTGTTAATTATTGATGGCCCTATTCCTTCTGGTTGGCCATCGGGAGACCCGTCAGAAATAGCAACAAGGATAACACCAACAAAGCTTGTTACAAGCCGGTGAGCCGAATCATACATGGAGAGGACGAAATTAACTACATACGCAGTAAGCACAGCTCCAATCTTGATCAATGTTAGGGTTTCCACGCGGAACATACGTCCAACGGCAAGAGTAAACATGCCTTCCAGGGATGACGTATTGGTACAGCTGATGAATAACAGTAGTACAAACACACTCACCACTTGTGCCAGACAGAATTGTTGAACTTGCGACGCTGGTGTATGCCAGAGCGGCGTTCAAAGCCCAGTTCGCAATAAACCACAGGAAGCAGAATCCAAGTGCCAACCTTGCGGTCTCCTTCACGGTGAACGGCCTATCGACCTGATCAATTGGAGCTATCAGCTCCACCTAGATATAGTCAGAGGGGTCGTGTGAAAGAATGATAGACAATGTAATTACTGCAGGCTCTGCATCAATGTCAAGCTCTTGCTCCAGCGGCTGATAATCTATGATTGACCTGAGGTCGGTATCGATTAGCAATTAGAGTTATGGAATACCGTTTAAAGTTACCTTGTGGATTTGGGCGGACCCCACCGATCAGCCCATAATCTTCGTGTAATGTATGGCAGCAAGTAAAACACAAATGATGCGGTGTTAGTGTATGTTATCCTGCATCACGGTAAGGATGTATCCAACTACGAAGATAGGAATCACACTTACAAGAATGGCTTCTGGTACCCGTCGTCATACATGTCCTGCAGGAAATTAATGGATATCACTGCTCAGAAGTGCGCTCGTTTGCTTACTTGCGTCAAGAAACTGGACGCAGTCCATAATAGGACAACCGCGAAGAGGAGACCGAGGCCGACAATGTAATTCTTGGTGTTCGTGTTCCTAGGAACGCCTTCTGAAGGCTCGCCGCTGGGGTCGGACACGGTGTCCATCTGAACCAAAGGATGATCGATGAGACAAGACTAGCACTGGGTGGGCATACGCACTTATTCGATGAAGGGCCCGAGGGATCCAATGGGTGCCAACATGTGTTGCCGTGTGAATTTTCGAGAAGACAGATTGAATGTCAGTACCAGTGGCACTTAGCACTCTACAATCAACCAATTCAATGGTCTATCTTTAATGCTACTCTCGAATCAAATGAATCCATTTCAATGTTACATGTAGATAAAGACAGGTATGTATATAATACACCGCACTGAAGCGCCTAGATTGGTAGTCCGTGATAATGAAGGAATATATGAAGTGTACCATGAAATGCAAACAGAAAAATGACATGACGGATCCGATGAAGGTATAGAAGGGTGTACGAGCCACGTAGTGCGCTAAAACGGCATTGTAGGGCGAAAGCCAGCATACGATTTGACTTTCTCAAAAATCCTAAAGAGGCTGATGACAATATTGATGCAATACGTGACAAGGCCAACCCCAACCAGGCAAATCAATGCAAGTTGATAGTCGCAAAGCGTATCTCCCACTCCGCCCTCATTTCGTCCAAGGTTCGGAAGCGTTAGCTCTGGCCGACTAAGTTCATCGTACCAAGCTATGCTTCTCGCTGATGCACAGGGAATAAGAGAGGTGAAGAAATTGTCGAAACAGAGGGAAAACGCCGCAGACCATGCACAGATGAAACAAACTTCGAGGAGGGTGTGTGCAAGTTTGGCAGATGTTCGCCATAATCCCATGGGGCGACCGAAATATTCGAGCTGTAATGGAATGAGATGACAGTGAGAAATCAAGGTGGAAAGACTTGCATATATCGCCACCATGACATGGACCAAAGTCAAAGGTGCAAATATAATCACTAAGGTTCTGGCAGACGTATGCTCATCAAGTTGTCACTTATCAAGCTGTGAAGTGACGTACGGAGAACTTCCTACGATTCCCATGACACTATATTGCAGTTCGACGATACGTATTCTGATAGCCACCGCAAGGGCCGCAGTGGTAAATGTTATATTGATGAATCTAAAAAGCTAGATCGCAGATTTATACACACAACAAAGTGAGTAGATAGCACTGTACTCACCAATGGCACATATATATTCGTAAGAATGAAAGTTCTGAAGCGCTTCGTCCTAGATCTCCCAGAGTTGGACCTGTCTCCTGATTCATTATCTGAGCGATCTTCAGCCATCCCAAGGTTGGAATAATCATTCGTAGGGTAATCGCGTGTTGGTTCCCATGGCGTGTCCCAACCAGGAGTTTTATTGCAAGGTAAAGTGAAAGGCGCAGAAGACTCGGCATGAAAATGTACAGCTCCCTTCTCCAGTGGAGACGCCGTCTGAAAGTGGGGTTCATTGTACGACCGAGGATTCATGTATGATGGTAAGGGTGGTCTATTTTGGTGGGCAGCACCTATCTTGCCAGCTGCTTGACCCGATGGCTCTCCCTGAGGTTCTCGAGGACGTGCAAACGTCCCCCAGGGTGATTTATTCTCGGACCAAGTTCCATTTACTCCTCCAAATGACGAACGAGAAGCGGCGAGGTCGGATGGTTTCTGATCATATAAATGATGGTCATCATCTATGGGAGAAGGAGGTTCATCTTGCGCCCAAGCTATGTAGATTAGGGAACAAAGTAAGCGACACCGCTCGATTAACATTCAGAAATTCATACGGGGTGCGGTAACGACGGTCCTCGTCGCTGAAGGTACTACAAGTGCATGACTCCGGACTGATGCTGCAAGACTACTATTTGACGGAATCGATAGAGGTTTTCGAGTGCTGGCAGCTGATAAAGACATGGGCGAAGGAATGAAAAAAGAATGAGGCCTAGAGACCAGCTAGTGCAGATTGAATGCCGGTCAGTTGTTTTTCAGGCCATCCGCTATACACAGATTCTGGTAAGTGATGCGAAAGTGCTCAAAATAATAACTAAATGTGCCGAGATGCCGACTATATGTGGTTACACCTGGGGTCATTCAATTATCGGTAAGGTTAACACATGGAGGACGGTTTTCCCTCAGTGTCAGCTAGCGGCCCTGTCGGCTCGAGATTCATTTCTCAAAACGACCTAGAGGAGGCGAAGGCCCGCAGAGACGAACAGTGGAAAGCAGCATATGCCAGGTGCGCAGCAGATACAGCCTTGACTCAAAGTACAATGCCACATGAAGCTATACTAGGCTCGGACAGGTTCCTCCGCCACAGCCTGCGGAAGATTCATTCGATGGTCGAAGTCTAGCAGAGGTGAGTAGCAATGCTTTTGCTTCCAGTGTTCACTTGAAATAGAACCGTGAATAGAAATTAGCCGCGAACAGGGTAGGTTACTACAGTTGTTCTTCATTTGGTGGATTCATAGGTGGGTTAGGCCGCGAAGCAGGAAGAATGGGAGGAGAAGACGAAATTAGGCAAGTCAGAATGATGTCTTTTCATGGTGATCTTGACTTGCCCAATTGTAGCAAATCAATTTCGAGCACTAGAAGAGGACGAGATCATGTTTCTAGATTCCATCAGAGAAAAGCAGGCCGAAGAAGAACGCCTCCGGAAAGCACAGGACGGCGAGGAGCTTTCAGACTTCAGAAAGTATGTCTCCGTTCATTATTTCTCCGTCGCTGACATTGAGAATCCGCGAAGAGCTGTTGCAGCTAGGGAAAATGACCTCAACAAGCCTACGCAGCCTATGGCACAACCACGGAAACAGAGTGATGATACTCCGGAGAAGCCTAAAGCTCCCGTGGTGACGTCCAAGAAAGATGTCAAGAAATCATTGAAGGGTGTTGTAGTGAAGAAGAGACCCAAGTCTAATGTTCCAACACCCAGCGAACGGAAGGCGAAGGAATCTATCAAGAACATCGATGAGGATGCACCACCAGTCACAAAACGTCGCAAGATATCCGAATCATGACATCCATCGTAATTCCATCTCCCGACTTTCCTGTAGTTGTCATTGTGGATTTGTTCGTTGTAGCACCATCTAATTCAAGAACACGCTGCTCAGTCTTGACATTCCATTGTATTCTAGATACAACACCAGAAGCATGCATGATATATGCTCATTTGTCTTCTCCGTGGGTCAGGTCTCATCCTCCCCGAGTTGTCGGTGTTGGTGTCCATCGCACACGGTTGAGATCCCTTTCCCCAGTCTGTCTCGTTTCCCAGCCAGACATTCGACCCATTGCCTCCGCCCTTCTCGCTGCTGCGGTACCCATCGTAGTTCTATCCAACAATCGTTTGGCTGCAGGTGTCAGATTGCCAGGTGCGTCAGCTCTCCGCGGAGTCCAACTTGGAGGGCCCATAGAACCTGACTTTGAGGAACTTCCTCGGGCTGGTGTACGTCCGATAATTGGGGTCGGCCCCCCAAGGAGAATGGCTTTCGCGCGAAGGCTTTTTGAAGCATGTGAGGATAGCCTGTGAGATAATGCCTCGCGGCTCGACGGCGCAGCAATATGGAAAGGTGTGCTAGGCAGTGGCAAGGCTTCTGCTGGATCATCGGACTTTGATAATATCCGTGGAGTTGCATTTAAGGTCCCCCATGTCATGAGCTGATTAACGGCAGAAGGGCCCAGCTCAGCAGCGGTAGGTGAAGGCAGGCTGGGTACAAGCGAAAATTCATTGATGGGGGACCGCGGTCGATCTAGTGAGGTGGTTAGAAGAAAAAAAAATTGACCGACGTGAAATAGAACTTACATGGCGTGCCAGTGATGGCGGCATCAATTCGACTGCGAGTGGGACTTGGCGGAGCAGATGCAGCTCGCGACTGAGAATCCCCTTCATCTTGTTCTGTTAGACGTGTATTCACATGCGTTATGATACCGAGATCATCGCTTGCTTTAGCTTTCGATGTACGCGGGTGGTACGGAGACATGTCGGCGTCAGGGGAGAACATGAGAGAATTGCGGGCCTGGAATCCAGGCCCTCAGCCATAAAATGAAAATTGAAAATATCATTTGAGCCAAACGCACCTTGAAATTCCAGCCATCAACACCAGCCGGACGAGTATCTTTCCTTGGCGCCATAACGTCCATAGGCTCGCCTTCCTCAGCCGCTTCACTGAGGATGGCCACCTCCTTTCCCTTATCATTGTCCTTCGTATCTTGACTTTTACCTTCAGGTTCCTTCGACGACTCTCCACTTTGCGTGATGAGTCCTGCGACATTAGGGGCCTCGATTACAAACTTCTCTCTCACACCTGGTGCTTGAGAAGGCTCAATCATCATCCTCTCCCTCGCCTCAATCATCCTATCCCTCTGATCCTCGACTCTCTTCTGTGCCTCCCATGCCCAACCCCACCTCTCCTTCCTCTTCCGGTTCTCCTCATCCATAATCTGCGTAAAGCTAGCGTTGTCTTCCGAGGTGTACCGTGCCTGGAAGTTGTCTAGACTCATGCTTGTATTATACCGCGGGCGTTTCGTCACTGGCTCCCCACGTGGCGTGTGTAGCGGTGTCTCGGATGCACCAGCACCATAGGGCGTTGCGGACGGTGTCTGCCACGGTCGTCCGCGGTAGGTGGCGGGGGTACTGTTAACTTCTTGTAATCTACGCACGGATGCGTTGATCAAGTGGGGGTCTCTCGATGTCACAGCATCAAGGTATTCATTGGTCGCGTCGAGATGCACGAGAGAAGGGAAGAAGTCTCTCGCTATGATGTGAGACAAGGCTGCTGTGTACTCATCTTCTTCGAGCACTTGTTGAGAATTTAGTGAGCGAGATGATTCAGATGGACCGGGGGTAGACATTATAGGGAGTGTGGGTAGTGATACTCGTGTACAGTCCAAATGGACTTCAGTCACTGTGCAGTGGACGTTCCCGAAGGGGAGAGCATTGTCATTGTGGTTACGTAAATGATCATTAAGAATAATTCACACAATTCCGCAGAGAAAAATAAAATGACAGATGGAAAGAAAAAAATACGAGCACAGATCGGCTGTAGAAATAAACAAGTAATGTATCATGGCACCAGCGGAAGTGGGGAGAAGCGCGAAGTGTCGCTGGTAAATGGGTATTCGTTCTGTTTGTGTTCATGAATGTCATACGAGGCATGGATCAGCAGGTACACCCTGCAGAATAGTTCGCGAAACGAGTGAGCATGGAGTAATGGTCCTCGAGACCTAAAATGCAAGATGCGTGTAATCTAAACGTTCATCAGGGTGCGCCACTCCAAAGTCAGCATAGCATATCACAGACGGAAAATGAGAGATTCAGGAAGAAAAGTCAAGAAGCGCCGCCACGTCCAAAATTGAGCACGTTGCTCCCAGACCTGCCCCGAGGTTTCTTGTCAGGTTCTAGCAAACCGCTATTGTCCTGACTAGGAAGCTCCAATCCGCTGCTCTTCCACGCAGGTCGACCAATCCTGCTCTGTGACAATATCGAGGCACTGCTGGCGGAGGATGGGATCCTAGAGGATGCCCGAACTGTAACATTGGAGTGCGACAAAGGGAGCTGTGGTGGCGATCTCAAATCCTTCTGAACTTTGCTACTGTATGAGAACGGTCGTTCACGAGGGCGGAACTCTGAATCCGAAGAAGGCGTAGGTGACCCAGCATTGCTAGAACCTATAGAGGAACGTTTCGGTTGACTATATGGACCGCCGTGCGGACCAGTCCCTGGTCCGGTGGACTTCTTGTAGCCAGGGACTGCTGGACGGGAGATCGGAATGGGAAGAAAAGTGGGAGTCGCGGGGCGAGACGAAGGAGTAGGTATGGAACTCATTGTTGCAGTAGTGCTGAGGCTTGCTCCGGAGAGGCGTGATTGAGGTCGACGACTATGGGTCATTGTGCTTTGGCCAAATTGACTGGGCTTGGAAAAAATAGGAGATGATACCGATAAAGGAACTGCACAGCGAAAAGCGCTGGGGGGTGAGGGACTAGATGAGCGTCCGTGTTCCTTCTCAGCATCCTTATTTGGAGAGGGAGTAGTATCGTCCATAATGAGAACCCATCCTGAATTATCAGGGTTGGGAGTAGTCGCACCACTCGCCAAAACAGTGTCTACGCCAAGCCGCTGTGGAGTCGGTCTTCCAAGTTTGTTGTCCGGTATCACAGAACGTGTAAAGGTACTCTTGGTTGACAATGTAGAGGATATAGTAGATGTGGAGGCCATCGTGGACATTGTCGCTCCCTGCCGCCCAGCATTGCTGCCCATCCGTAAGCGAGGAACACGTGTATGAATCTTCTGTTCTAGATTCCTGACACGAGCACGCATTTCGGAAACCATTTGAACACCCTTGCTTCTGGATGCCATCATGGGTATGGCAGTGATGTTGGATACGCTAGAACTGGCAGTAACAGCGGCAGGCCGTGGGACAAGGGCAGGAGTCCGAGGAGAGTTGCGTGAAGCAGCAAGGGTTGGAAGGGTGTTCGAACGAGCCATTGATGAAGGTGAGGAAGTATTAGGGTTATGTTTGCTCAGCTGGAAACCTGCGCGCTGGAGTAAGATGGACTGTCCATAATTTGAGTTGGCAGCGGTAGAAGGCGGGCGGGTAGGGGTAGGAATAGAGGATTTCTCGTTGGAAGAGAGATCAGATAGTTCAAGATCTGGCGGCGGCGGAGTACTAAGCAGATTGTCATCCGATGAAGCCGTTGAAAGAGGAGGGAATAGTGATGAAGCGGTAGTGGAACCCGAAGTTTCGGTCAAAATGCTCGGTGCCCTAGAGCGAGCAGCTATCAGCTGATCTTTGAGGATAGAAATTTCTACAGATGAATCTAGCAGAAAAGTGTAAGTGCTCTATCCCCATGCAGTTCAAGATAACATACCTCGTAGCTCATCCTTGACACGTTGTAGTTCTTCCTCCAAATTAGCCTTGTCAAAGAGTTCATGCTCGAGCAATATCTTTTCCTCCAGCGCCTTGGAATACCTTGCTTCTATATCCGCCAGACTCGACGCGACCACACGCTCATTTCTCTCGAGGTCATCATTGCCCAACTCCAGGTCGCGCAATCTGACCTTCAATTTCTGAGACTCCTGCCTGAGTGTATCTAACTCTCGTTGCAGGGAAGTAGTGGTTGTATTGTACGTGGTCTGTAGCGATATGAATTTGGACTTTGTGAAGGGTTGATTAGCGGACTGGGTTCGGAAAACGCGTGGAGAAATACCTTCCATTCGTCTCGGTCTAATTCTGTCTTTGCGACCTTGACTTTGAGATCCTGTTGTGCCTTCTCTGTACGGTCTATTTCCTTGATTAACTCCTCCTCAAGCTCTTTACTAGAAGTGTGAAATTCATCGAGTTCGGCACGAGTCTCTGCCAGCATATCGGCGACCTCATTATACTTCGCTTTCCAGTCCGTGGAGGAGTAACTGCTTTGAGAACATTGTTAGGAAACCAGATTGAGTGTGGCAAAAAGGGTATGGGTACTCTAACTGGTTGTCTTCTAAGGAGGCCATTATTGGATCTCTGCGTAGGGCATCTGTAGGAGACAGAACGGCCGTCATGAACCCTGTAAAGAAATAAAGTACAACCTAGAAACACAACCACTAGAAAATATCAAAGGAGAAAGGAAAATTGGTGGAAACAGGAGAAATGCTTGCAATTTGGTTCTTGACTTGCACACTTCTATGTAACATTTGGTTGACCCGTGCCACACTTTGATTACATAATTCAAAGATCTAATTTACAAAGTCTCAGGTTTCGCGCACTTGCGCTTTTCTATTCGACCTGTCTTAGGACACCTCATTTCTTGCCACGAAACAGGATTCATTGATGCCCCTAGATTGTCGGTTAGAATTCGTACACGGCGGAACCAAGGACTCTTACCAGCTTCACTGGTGGCAAAAATGACACCGAGGTCGTTGCGTGCAGTAGTGATGTAGTAACTGCGAGCATCACCAAGAGAAATCTGCGATGATTGAGCAAATCATTAATTACCGTGTTCACTGGATTAACTTACCACTACACCCTTGACGACATCTCCCCCACGAAAACAATCGCTGATCTTCACCTTGTCTTTCTCGGTAGCTCTAACATCTTGAGTGCGTATAACACCATTAAATTCTTCACCAGCCGGTAGAGGGACGCCATCAACAACTGAAATGGATACCATCGCCTGCAAAGGTGACAGACGAGTGACGGTCCCTAGTACGACCGAATTTTCTGCCGGTGGATGTGCTCGTACGCGAGATATTGCCAGGGTCTGCACATATTGAAAATCGAGTATGATTTGATCGTCAAGAGAATTAACCAACAGATCCTTCGTAATGTGCGACACCAACTAGGCTCGCTCTAACTTGCCCATCTTTTAAGTATAAACCTCCTCCAAGTTTTGGTACTGGACCACGAGAAAGGGATACCGGTTGACCTGGGAGTAAGATATCGGATGCCATGGGAAATCAATTGATGAAACCGAAAGCGAGCAGCTGCCGTGGAACGATGTACAAGGGAAAAGTCGGGAGACCAAGTATTAATTAAGTTAAACTCGCGTCGTTCGATCGGGTTTGTCGTTATTTGGCTGTGACATACTACTTCAAAAATCTCAGCCCACTCTGACTATACTTCCGCTCTCGAGGAATCGTGCTTCTGCCCCTTCAGCAACAATGGCCTCCTCTTCTATCGCTCGCGTCCTTTCACGGCGTATGATTCTCATTTCTTCATGTTGCTCACAACTAACATCATTAATAGAGATGCACATTTCTGCACGGAGACATGCCCTGACCAAGTTCTCCATGCCTGCCATGAGTCCCACAATGACCGAGGGCGGTATCGCCTCCTGGAAAAAGGCGGAGGGTGAAACATTTGCCGCCGGTGATGTGCTGCTCGAGATTGTGCGTTCACCTAACCTGGTCCTTGCTTCCATTCCGTTCCTCATGTCTGTTTACAGGAAACGGACAAGGCTACCATCGACGTAGAGGCCCAGGAGGACGGTATTCTTGCCAAGATTATCGTACGTCAGCTTCAAGCTTCAAGTTTTCATTCTCTCACATTTCCCTGCGCACATTTAGGCCCCGGATGGTTCAAAAAATGTCGCTGTCGGCTCGCCCATTGCTATTATGGCTGAAGAAGGCGACGACCTGTCAGGTGCGACTCAATTGGCTTCCGAGCCTTCGGCCGCACCTCCTTCCCCACCTAAGATGGAAAGCACGCCTGAGCCCCCCAAAGCTGAGGAGGCTCCCAAGCTTACTCCATCCCAGGCCAAGCCTGAGCTTGCCAAAGGCGAACGGATATTCGCATCCCCCATTGCAAAAAAGATCGCTTTGGAACGCGGCATCCCATTGGCCCAAGTCAAGGGCACTGGTCCTGAGGGACGCATCATCCGAGAGGACATCGAGAAGTACCAACCACCCGCGACAGCAGCCTCAGCGGTCGCTGCCACTTCTTCAGCACCTGCTGCTTCCCTTCCAGAATACACAGACACCCCAGTTACAAATATGCGACGCGTCATTGGCTCACGTCTCACCCAGTCCAAGCAAGAGCTGCCACATTACTATCTTACCGTCCAGATCAACATGGACAAGACGATAAAACTCCGGGAGGTCTTCAACAAAACACTTGGCGACAAAGACAAAGCTGCTAAGCTCAGCGTCAACGATTTCATACTCAAGGCCGTTGCATGTGCATTGAATGACGTACCCGAGGCTAACTCGGCATGGCTCGGAGAGGTCATCCGACAGTGCGTACTTCTGCGGACATAAATGTATCAGATCTAATTCACCTTGCCCTTAGGTACAAGAAGGCTGATATCTCAGTTGCTGTCGCAACTCCCACTGGCCTGATTACACCTATTGTGAAGGATGTCGGTTCTAAAGGATTGGCAACCATCTCTAGTGAAGCGAAAGCTCTCGCCAAAAAGGCTCGGGATGGCAAGCTCGCTCCTCAAGAATATCAGGTAAGTGACATACTTTCATGCCGACTGAATGAAATTTATTGTTTCGATAGGGTGGCACGTTCACGGTGTCCAACCTTGGCATGTACGATATCGAACACTTTACTGCTATCATCAACCCTCCCCAATCGTGCATCCTTGCCGTTGGCACCACGAAGCCAACAATCGTCCCAGCTCCTGAGGAGGAGCGTGGTTTCAAGACTGTGAACATGATGAAAGTGACACTGAGCTCGGACCACCGGACAGTCGATGGTGCTGTGGGCGCTCGCTGGATGACTGCGTTCAAAGGTTACCTTGAGAACCCACTCACATTCATGCTTTAAAAGTACAATGTTTTCGTGTCTTTGAGGTCTGCCCATTGTTTCTAGACTAGATTACATTCATTACATGCACGCGTTATTTTTCTGTTGACTTGCGTGATGAAAGCATAAAGCCTTAAAATTGTGCACCTGCCAGCGGGGCTTATGCGCCCCCCTAGTGTTCAAGTTCTAGACCCATGGAGGTCGGAGAATGGTCTGACTCATTCCTTCGCAGAGCCAAAGTATTACTATCAGTACACCCCCTGAGGCTTGTTCGCGACCACTTGCTAATTCTCCGTATTTTCCTCCGAACTGATCGACGGCAGTTCTGGAATGGCGCACGATAGCAAATTCAACAAGTTGAATGAGTACCTCGTCGAAACTCTGGGGCAACTGCTCGAGGCGAAAAAGGAAGCTACTGTCATGCGCGAGAGACTCACAAATTTAGAAGCAAACCTGACCGAACGCGACCGGCTGAACGCATTGAAGCAAAGTGAAAATGATGAGGTACGTAGGCGCGATCTCTTTGATGTTCCTCTTGCCCAATCATCTACAGCTTCGTGTCAGAAGCACGAAACTCGAGTTTGAGATGACGCAGTTGCAGAACGTGGTATGTGGAATACATATTGATCCGATTGCTAGTAGAATACTCTATGTACTGACGCGTTCGCCGTTGTCAGAATGCGGCACTACAGCTTGCAACGAAAGATCGCGATGCGTTACATGAACAATTGAAAGTGTCCAAGATGGATGTTACTAGGCAGCAAGAGAGGGTGATTTTGAAACTAAATAATCGGTTCGACGCAGTCTAACACGTGTTTCAGGCTAATACGCTAGAGCAACGACTTCAGGAGTTAAATAACGAAAAAACAGCCTTGGCGCGTGAGCTTCAAGCAGCTGCACAGATTGTGCGCGTGGATGTAGGACCATTTTTATCTAACATATTATCATGCCACAGCAACTAAAATACTCCATGCAGATTGGCGTGAATACAAATCCTCTCCCAACTCCCCGTAGCACGCCCAATGGCGCCAGATTACCAGTCGTACTGGGGCCCTCGACAGCTGGCCCATCTCGTGACCAAAACTTGAAGGAAGAACAAGATGTTTCGGTGGATATTTTTGCAGTACATCCTCCCTCTCAGTTACCACCTCCTCGAAAGCGAGCTATTGAGAACGCGCCGCAACTCATTCCTGACCTTGCGGATGGCGGAACTGTATGCTTTACAAGACCCTTTATAACAACTCACATTGGGGGAGGGTCGCAAGCTCTCATTTCAAAGTAGGCTCTTAACTTATGTGTTTGATCAACCTTGATGGCTTCAGCTTATAAACTCTTCAGCATCGCAACGCCAAAGTCTCTAGCCCTAAAATTCGGTATAACAAGCTACCTTTGCCCGAACTTGTGGGAGAATCCTTGGTGTCCAACAAACCCTGGCATGGCTGGGTACATGTTTGTTGGCTTAGGGGAGGAGATTCATAACTTTGTTCAGCCGGAGGTACATGAACTCTTTGTTGGGGTTGAGAAAACCAAATACAGACTTATGGGTCGGTATCGGGCCCATCGTGTTGAACCCTTGACTGTTGAAGAATGGCTGACGCTCTCGGAGAAAGTAAGTATAATTAGCCTCGAAGTCATCCGAGTCATCCCTTAATTTTGGCCTATTAGGTTCGATTCAAGTACTGCGAAACCACACAACGAAAAGCGAAAGACTCACGTTCCGTCGAGGGCATAAAGGCTGCTTATGAGCGTGGTGAACTTCGTGCTCCCTGCGTCAAATTGACATGTCTTGATTTCAAGGAGGACCTCTACAAGAAACTGAAGGCACGAAAAATGGGACAGAACAACATCAACCCCTGGTCATCTCAGCGTTCGATTAAACAGGAATTGCCTGTTACACGCTCGTCACAAAAACGCCGCCGCATTGAAGAGATCATCAACGTTGACGAGTCCTCCATGGACTCTGACAGCGACGCTTCCGAATACTTAGGGTAGTATTAGATACCTACTTACATAATTCGCATCAATCGTTCCGAGTCATCATCGACGGCGACTAGTACTGCATACTCTAGTCTACAAGGCCTAATAACTTTGTATCATAGCTTCGATTCCTTTTTCCTGTGACTGTACTTTTGCCAGACCTTGAAGCACGAGAACCGTGACTAGATAGACATCTTGAACAATGCCAGGCCGTCGTCGCGAGTCTCCGCTCAAGAATCCAAGTTGAGATTAATGTGTTTCATGACGAACAACACTCACCGACTTCGTCAGGCAGGGCCTATATCGCACTAGGATTAGAGGGGTCAGCTAACAAACTCGGTGCAGGAGTCATCAAACATGCTGTCGATGGATCGACCGAAGTGCTCTCTAACGTTAGGCACACTTACATCACACCTCCTGGGGAGGGATTTCTTCCCCGAGATACTGCCCAGCACCATCGAGAATGGGCATTAACGGTGATTAAAGATGCAGTTGCAAAAGCTAAGATTACGATGCATGACCTCGACTGTATATGTTATACCAAAGGTTAGCTGAATCCCTTTTGAAGTTTCGTGTTTGAATGTTCCTCCAGGCCCTGGCATGGGTGCACCTCTGCAGTCTGTTGCTCTAGTTGCTCGCACCCTCTCATTATTGTACGAGAAGCCCCTTGTTGGTGTCAATCATTGTGTCGGACGTAGGTATATCCAATCACGGTGTGCAACTTTCACTGATGTTGTCAAACAAGATATTGAAATGGGACGGCAAGTTACTGGAGCTCAGAATCCAGTAGTACTATACGTGTCTGGTGGTAACACACAGGTCATCGCATATTCACGGCAATGCTACCGGATCTTTGGAGAAACACTCGATATAGCTGTTGGAAACTGCCTTGACAGATTTGCCAGAGTAATAAACCTGAGCAACGACCCAAGTCCAGGATATAACATTGAGCAAGAGGCAAAGAAGTGTTTTACTTTCTTTCTGTTCGTGGTATTTTCATTGACCTGGCGTACACCTAGGGGAAAACGACTCGTCCCGTTACCTTACACTACCAAGGGAATGGATGTTAGCTTGTCTGGCATACTGACTTCGATCGAAGCCTACACATCCGACCGTCGGTACCGGGCTCAAGGCGAACTTGATGAAGTGTCAGAAGATATTATCAGGCCCGCGGATCTCTGTTTCTCCCTTCAAGAGACGGTGTTCTCCATGCTTGTTGAAATAACAGAACGAGCGATGGCTCATATCGGGAGTAGAGAGGTTCTTATCGTCGGAGGAGTTGGCTGTAAGATATTTGTTCTGACCCGTTATGGCCAACCTGATTTATCCACATGAAGGTAATGAACGACTGCAGGAAATGATGGGCATCATGGCACAAGAGCGAGGTGGATCGGTGTTTGCAACCGATGAGCGGTTAGTCTTTTGAAGCACTAATGACATGGTTTTCTTATTCACGAACTTGTAGTTTCTGCATTGATAACGGCATCATGATTGCTCAGGCTGGTCTACTGAGCTACCGCATGGGATATCAGACACCTCTTGCAAAGAGCACCTGTACGCAAAGGTCGGTGCCTCAATATTATGGAGTCGTCTTGCAGAAAGTAATTTTTGTATTCAAGATTCCGGACCGATGAAGTGCATGTCGCATGGCGACCCTGAACGTGTGAACCCCCACTTATTCTACATTAAAATATCGTCAGTATCTGTTTGTATTGTTACTGTGCAACGTTCGCCAGCACCAGCTTCCAGTCCTCTGGTTCCCCTTTCATCTCTTGGCCGAGTTGATCTAGCCTCTGCCACCACCACCTGTGACTCTTTGCGTACTCTCCCGTATCATCTTCAGATACCCTGGTTTGCCAAGGCTTGTCAGCCAAAATGTAGTGAAGGCATCTGATCTCCTCGTCTCTCCACAGCGGTTTGTGAATTAACATCAATGTCTTGAGTGCATTGTAACACCATGGAAGAGGTTTCCACTTTCCTCTAAATAAATCTGACAGGAGGTCTTGGTCTGGGAATGACCAAGTTGGCACTAGAGGTGAAGTGTAAAGGTGGTTGCGGACAGTTTCTGCAAGAGCTAGGGACGGATTGAGAACCACGATGCCGGAGTTTAGCTGAGTGTGGGGACGCGGGCTTGCTTCTGTAATGAGCACTGGAGTAGTCAAACCAGAGGGGTGGATCAACGGAGTATATGCGCAATTCTCGGGAACCCTGGAAGACTAAATGAGGTATTATAATGACAGATAAGTCAAATGGCATACCAATCAGCAGGATAGTGGGGCAGTTTGCGTGGGTTACAAGCACACACATGCGCAGCAGCTATCCAGTTGTTTGGGAGATCGATGTCAAATAATTCGTCCATATTGCGCATCACAATCATATCGGCATCCATGAGGACGACGCGCTATGCTCAAAACACGTGTAAGTCATGAACACTGCAAAATCTGAACCAGATACTTCATATTCCTTCAGTTCAAATGCCCTTTATCTTGCCATGAATGGCCCATCAGTTCCATAACTGATCTGCACGCACCTCAGCTTCGTCCATGTATCAGCGAATCTTGCGTCATGCGTTGAAAGTGAATGCTTTCCCTCTGGAGGGCGCAGCGATTCAACAGGCCTAATGGAAATTCCCCTTCGCTCCAGAACACTCCGAACATCTTGGGGTAGCGTAGGAGTGACCATGACAATAAGAGGGAACGCAGATTCCACAGATCTAAGGGTACAATCGAGCACCAGAACGCCAGGTAAATAGCTGGTTGCTGTGAGTAGAGTCACATAAGCCGCCCTTCTAGCCATCGCGATTGATATTACTGGGGAAAGGGAAGGGAGCGACGGAGCCAAGATAAAGCGGATTGATAATTGCTCAAATATACTACCCAAAAGATTGGACAGTCGGAGGTTGCGGCCCTACTTAATTACCGCATTTTAGATCTGCACCCGCGTTTTCGCACATCTACCTTGGCGCTAAGCGCTAAAACTTGAAATGGCCTCGCAAGGATTCGAGGAACTCATGCAAAGGGATTCGTATACATACGCAATGATCACATCGCGAGAATAACACGGGGATTTAGCACAAACAAGCCACCATACAAAATTTGAAACCCTTCACGCTCACACCAGCATTTTTCGGGCGGCGGGCACTTCAGGCAGCGGGCGCTGTGTCACGGTGGTGGCGTGATGTAGTAGGTGACGAGAAGTAGGTGGGCAGGTTTGTCATATAAACTCTGCTTCAATCACCCAGATTTGATCCCAGACGCAGACTTGTAGTCCGCCCGGACATGCACCCAAACCGGCCGTATCTTCAGCACAAACGTTCGAGGATTGTGTATGTTAGACTTCGCTACCACAATACGAGACCTCGCGTGTATGATCTTGGCATGGGGTCCAAAATCAAGCTCAAATTAGGGTCGAGCTAGAACGAGGTGTGCATGCACATTTCAAGTCACGGTGTTCAAACTCCCGCCCTGTTAGGGTTCCTTAAATTACTTGGAACAAGTAGATCAAGGCCGCTCCCAGTGGCGTCCCTGCTCTCCACTCCCACCTTGAGGGCCAGGCTATCATTTCTGTTTCGCAGATAGTCGAGTTACTCATATTCTCATACATGTAAGATAGGGCACCTCGCCGATCACTGTTTCTGCCTCGAAAACATCGCAACTATATCCATGCAAGAGACCACTTTGCCACACGAACGTCAACATGTTGGGTTTTGTAAGTCCTTCGCTTATTCCGAGGTTTGACCTTAGGTCATTGTCAAGTTTATATGAATGGTGATGGGGTTTCATTTAATGTTTTCCACCCGTTTCGGGGTAGACAGGCACCGCCAATGCTACCTAACAAGAGGGTCGGACTGGCAGTATCTAGCCCAAGAACCAGTAACAGCCACCGGTGACGCAGGGTGACTCTTCAAGTTGTCAGCCGTGTGATTGTCGATATACTTACGACCTTTCCGTCGGTAGCGAGTTATCGAGGACAGTGATTTGTGACATCAAATGGAAAAGTATGGCCCAAACTCGGCACAATGTCGTACAATTTTCATTAGGATACCACAAGTTCACAACCCTTAGAGGTCAACGAGATTTCGATGTGCCCTATAAGTATCGTACGTTGGTGATCAGCAGGAATCCATCCCTCACTCTCTGAATTCGCCATTTAATCTGCACATTTTCATGCCAGGACTAGAAGAATATCTCTATGCTCTTGACTGGAATAACAGCATATCGGGTTCGTCAGAGCTTGTTGGACATGAATCATTGTGCTAAACTTCGTCATTTCCAGTTGCAATCATTACCCTGATATCCTATGACTACGGTCAGTAGCTTTCATGAACCCTGTAGTACGGTTGAGCGTAATATCATCTAGTGCTTCAGTTTGGGAAAGAGGTAAGGAGGGGGTTGTTTCGTTATCTTCGAGTACTCATGATCATATATCGCAGGTCACGTTCGTTTGGGTTAGAGTTCAACCCCAACGATATGAAGTTCCGGAGCTGACCGGTTATGCAGGAAAGGCAGTGGTCAGTGATGACATATCTATACCTTGTTGTGAGCTCCACCCTGCCAAAGTGCTTCATGGTTCCCCATTTTCGTTGCTATGTCAGGTTCGATATTTTGGTATTGTCCTTGCAATGTACGTCGTGGTGTTTGTATCCTTCGGATGGTACGTTGTATGTTGACGCTGACGTCTAGGATTTGTGCCACCTGTACGTGATGTGATACCAAATGAGCCATCATTGACTGACCAGTGCTAGGGGGAGGTCTATTTTATATGCCTGAAGCAGTGAGTATATTGATTCTTTCTTTAGAGGATTTTAGGTTGACCTAGACTCAGCCGTACGTCAGAAGTTCGTTTTACAGCTAGCCTGATCTGCTGCTGACCTCTTGTTTAGTTGTGAGTTTATCGTATCGTATTCAACTGAAACTAGCGTTGCTTATCATCAAATTGAAATAGGTTATGGTATATTCGTGTTCATGCAATGGGGTTTTTCTGTATATTTTTGCTTGGCGGAAGGTATGTCGTTATCCATACAGTCTCGCACCTTTGCGCTTCCCATTTTTACATTTGCAGTCATCCTCATCTGGCGTCTTTACGCCCTACATAGCCAATCAAAGCTCATACTTTATGTTCTACTGGGGTTGCTCCTACCTATCGTCGCGCTCTATATAGCGGTGGATGCATTTTTATGGAGCCGGCCTTCGGCGATCTCAGGTGAATTTCTATTTTGATTGAATTCTTTGAAAGCTGATGCTTGTTGTACAGTGCAAGAAATCATAATAACCCCAAATATCAAGTACTGCACGGCTTTCTTCCACACCGGGCCTATGCCTGCAATCTACGCTTCCATCCCCGTCATATGCTATGATATTTTCTTGGTTGTTCTCGCCGTTACCGTCCTCAGGAAGCACCTGAAAGAACGACAAGAATTTAAAATGAAGCCTAACACCTACGTGGTGATGATCGTCCGATATCATGTCATATACTTTGTCCTGTAAGTTCCCTTCGTTTGTTGTGTTCTCTGAAAGCATTCATTGAATCATGCTAGGAATTTGGCGACTCAAATCTTCATGGCGATATTATGGGCCCACCTTACGGTATGATTTTTTGCGATTCCATAGAGATATGTTCTAATGTATGCATGCAAAAGACGGTGATGCTGAGTTTCGTACTGTTGTTCAAGGATACCGCGCCATTGATTATCGTGCCACGTCTTATCATCAGCATTTGGGATACGCATGCTAATGAAGACTGCGCACAAATCAGTACGATGTTCGAGAATTGTGTCTGTTGGACTCCGCCAACGGAATTGGAGCAGCCCGAGGTTGACTCTTGTGTATGATGTTCCAAATTGAGGAAGGAGGTAGAGTGAGGTCCATACTTACCCCCAACTACTTTACATAATGATTATCATTAATTTTAGTTAGAGGTTAGGGGTTAGATGTTAGAGGGTTTGTTGGTTAGTAGTTAGTTGTTAGCAGTTAGTTAGAGTTAGTTAGTGGTCAGCTATGATTATATCCTGTTTTGGAAAGTGAAAAGTTAAATTAAAGTTAAATTAAAGGCTGTTGCACTGGTAGTTACAATAGTTAATGCACAACATTGGATGACTTGCTGTGGGCTCGAAAAATGTAGAATAGAATATCATATTTCGCATTAGGAAGGCAGCCGCGATGCCGGGCTTCATTTGCGATCGATTTGCAATTCAACATTATTTTCTACCCTCTAATAAACCTTAATCGGAAAGGGGGGGTACCCCCCCCTTGCAGATTTTTCAGATTATAATAAACATGTTCTTACCATTTCAGGCCACTAACGCCTGCGATATCAGCTGACATAATGTCGCTACAACTACCTTACGCCCTACTGCGCAGTTGCTCTGGTGTCCCCATGATGAGCAACGGCACTCGTTGGCCTCATTTCTCGGATCCTCATTGTTTCCGTATCATTTTCGGACCTCCATATGACTGCAATGACCTAGATTGGCCTTTGGACTTAGCGACCACAGCAGTCCCTTACAACAAAGTGTCACCCTCGGACCATTCAGAGCCCATTCCTCAAGCTCATTCGAGAAAATTTTCAGTTCAATGTGTTGTTCTGCCTTCACAGCATGCTGCTATTGGTCCAGGGTAGGTGTATTTTCACTCGAAATTGTTGGTGTCCAGTGCTCTGATGTCACTCTGCACTCACAACAGGCTGTTACCTGTCCAGGGTAGTTATTTTTTTTCATGTTGAACGCCCGGTTGTCTTTGCTCATGACGGAGTGTTACCCAGCTAGGGTCCGGGCCTTTTCGTGCCTTGCAGATGCATTCCTTGTGTATAAAGTGACGCTCCTGATCATTGGAAGGTTAGCATTTTTCCTTCGTAACTCTGCCTTCAACATGTCTGACATTCCCCCCAAACAAACCCAATTCTTTACTGGTAGTCCTTGCCACCCCGAATTACACTACAATGAAGCCGGCAATGCATTCGTGTTTGATGCGCCAAATGGTGTGTGGCAGCCTCATCCAGGCATTGCACAGGTATATGTCACACCTGGCTACATTTTCCTTTGCTAATATCGACTCTGGTGCATAGTGCCTGCTTGTTCTTTTGTCTGGATGTTTGTCTCTCCGCTGGTTATTTTCTTGCCACCCTCAAAGACTATGGATGAATGTATTTGACTGGTGTCTTCTTTGGAGTGTGTTGTATTCGTCTTGCCCTCGCTTTATGATTTTGATTGTTCTGTCGGATAAGCTGACGCCAGCTTATTTTGATGGGTTGTGCCAGGACCGCCTGCCATATTTGGAAGTTGCGCCAGGAGCAACTGCCATATCAGGAAGTTACACCAGGAGCAACTGCCCAATTGGGAAGTTACACCAACTCGTGGAACAACACTCAAATAATAGCCAGGCGCTCACTTATTTCAATGTCAGTTGCACCAGAACATCATCCTGATTTGGAAGTTACATTGACGTTACTACCATATTGGGAAGTTGTACCATGCGGCCAACCCACCGACCGCACCATTAAGATTATTGGTCGTAAGAAATGTAGGGTAGACTGCAGGGGTTGCATCAGATTGTTGTTAAGCTGACGTGCACTTGTTTCTGTGTGTCTTGATTGCGTTTATTTTTCTGAAACTTGTTCTTGTCTTGAGGGGGTTGATTTATTGATCGTTGTGTGGTCTTTGCTTGAGTGGTCTCCCCTATGGTAGCGCTCTTCTGGGTGGGACGTGCATTGACTGAGGACGGAATCTTGTTTTCCCTTGACTTTGTTTTGCTTGATTTTTGCTATTTTTTGTGATTTCCTAGCTTGATTGCTGTTGAGGTGGTCTGGGGGTGATGTGTTGGAAGAGGACGGAATTGACTTTGTTTTGCTTGATTTTTGCTGTGGTGGTCTTGCCTTGACTTTCCTTGATTCTATCCTGTCTTGCGTGCGGTGGTATTGGTCGCTCTGTTTGATGGACGAGACAACGAGACACCGAGACAATACGTTCCCCTGACCGAAGCTAGCTAACTAAGCCGAGTCAGTTCTAACCGGGGGGGGGGCGGGTGGTTTTGCTTCATAGTAGTTTTGCTTGATTTTTGCTCTTTTGTTTGCTGTGGTGGTCTGGCTGTTCTGTTCAAAAAGTTGCCCTGGCTGATGCGAGACAGAGTGGAGTCAAAGAAATAGCCGTGCGCCTGCTTATTTTGACCGTGGTTTGCGCTTAATGCATCGGTTGAGAAAATGAGTTCAAAGATATGCGAGCGCCTGCTTGTTTCTGCTGCGGGTTGCGTTGGATCGACCGTCTTTGCTTTGTATGTGCTGTGTTGTTTGCTATCGTGGTCTTGCTTTATCTTCCTGATGCTTCTTTGTTTGCTGTCATAGAAAGAGTCGAAAAAATAGCCTGGTGTCTGCTTATTTTTGCTGAACGTTTGAATCCTCGTGAGATGTGCGAGATCTTTCCATGGTCTTCGCTTTGGTTGGTGGCGCTTGTCTGGGGTGATGCTTTGGCCGAGGACGGAACCTGGTTTTTGCTTGACTTCATTTTGCTTGATTTTTGCTGTTTGTTTGCTGTTTCATGGCTTGACTTTCCTTGATTTCGGCTGTTTTGTTGCTGTCGTGATTTTGTTGTTGTGTGTCTGAATTCATAGTCTTTGCTTGTGGTGGCGCTCTTCTGGGGTGATGCGTCGGGAGAGGACAGAGTCTCATTTCGACTTGACTTTGTTTTGCTTGATTTTTGTGATTTTATGGTCTTGCTCTGGCCCATATTCTTTTGCTTTTCTGATCTCCTCTGCTTTTCTTGACTTTCCTTGAATCGTCTTTGATTTCGTGGTAGCCCTTGTGGTGGCGCTTGTCTGGGGTGATGCGTTGGCTGAGGACAGAACCTTGTTTTTGCTTGACTTCACTTTGCTTGATTTGCTTGAATTTTGTGTCCCTTTTGCTTTATCGCTGCGGTGGTCTTTTGATTTGTCTTGCATGCAGTGTAAGATGTGGTGCCGAGAGACGAGACACCGAGACGATACATTTTCATCCTAAGCAGAAGCCTAGCTCTAACCGGTGGGCGGGTGGTTTTTGCTTGATTCGTAGCTTGGTGTGTTTCCTTGATTTTGCTGTTTTATTGCTATTGTAGTCTTGGTTGTCCTGGTCCTCATATGCGGTCATGTGTTGGTTCATGACAAAACCTCATTTTTACTTGGCTTGATTTGGCTTGATTTTGTGTTATTTTTGTGTCCTCTTATTCAATAAAAGAACCCGCGTGCATGCTACGATAACCCTCGTTGCGACTATCAGTAGTGGTGCATGATTTGCGCATACTTTCCTTCATAAAAAGGTAGTGTCGCATGTCGTTGTAGCCCTATCCAATAGGTCATATCACCTCAGAGTCAGTCATTTGGTACGAAGAAAATTGGCCCTGATATCACACCATGGTCTGTCGAACCCTTGCATGGTTTCATGGTATGTTTGTGTCTACATTTATGATTTTACCTTATCGTAATTCAACAGCCACGTTGTAACGAGACAACAATTGCTGAACACTACATGAAGTAAGTAATCAGCAATATAAAATGTTGTGGTCTGCACAGCCTAGTCTGCTATACTTGTAGACAAGTGCGTTCGACCCGAGGGGTTAGCTATCTGGTATTAGTCTGTGAATAGTGGAATGTCAAATGATCAAAAGTCCGAGCGCGGGAAACAAAGTCCGAAGGTATAATCACGAGTCCGATGCCAAAGCGTCGGGTCCGATGTTTTCGGGTTAGCGGACTAGCGGGTTTCGGGTGCGGGTTCAGCGGATCATGGAGAATAGTGATAGCGAGTGTCGGGAAAGCGAGTGGTATGCGGAATATCAATAATGGCTGGTGTTTTCGGATAGAAAGAGTGGTAATATTTGCAATGTCAACTAGGAACTATGAAATATCGGGTTTGACCACAAAGCGTCGGGGAACGGCTCCCCACTACTTGGATGATGAATAATGCTCGAGGTCAGTCCAATATATATGTAAGTACGTAGAAATGTGGAACCCGTAGGCGAAAGTAGCGGCGGAGTATTTTGGATCCGAAGTACATGTAAATAAACATGAGGCGCTGCAGACTATGGGAAAACATGTAATAGTGCTGGCTACGACGTGAGTAATGTGCGAAATAATCAACTATGCACCTAGTGGGGCTAGCAAGACAGGACAGGACATGGAGAGGACAAGTGCATGGGAAAATATTGGGTCCGCTGCGGCCGAAACGTTGGGTCCGCTAGTCAAAGCATCGGATTGAGTGGGAAGTGATTATTGTGCAATGGGCATTTGACGTGGATCCTAAAATAGCTGAATATGAGCCTAGCGCGAGCTCGAGTGCTACAACGTGCTGCAACTTCCTCGAGCTATTGTCTTACCAGTCCTGCAGACTTCTCAATCCCACCGGCGGCCACTGGCAATGCAGTTATTGATCCTGCGCTTCTCCCGCTGCCTCACAGTAGCGACAAGGTCCTCTATGAGCCTGCAGCCATTGCTGAGGCTCGTGGGTATACTGCTTGTGGCAAAACCGCAGGGTCACGTCATAAGGTCAAAGGCAGGGGTCGAGACAAGGAGAACTCAGCATACGATACCACCAAAAAGTGTCCCTGTGAGGTACTTGACGATAATGATGAGGGCCCAGTCAAACGAGGACGCCCTCATGGATCTAACAACTACACTAATGCCGATATGAAAACCCTTCTCGACTTAGTTGAAGAGAACCTACCACTTGGTCAGCGGGGCTGGCAAACCATACATGCGAAGTTCACACAGTGGGCCAAGAGAGCTGGCTGCCCTCATCGTAAGGTTACCTCCCTCAAAACAAAGTTCAAACAGGTAATATTGAATTGATTCACTGGTAATGTGTTGACTAATGTGTGTCTCAGCTGGTGAAGACCACCAAACCAACGGGGGATGGTGTTTGCCCCCTTGAAGTCAGTCAGGCACATGAAATTGACCAGCTCATTAACGAGCGTGCTGGTACCTGCGATGTCAATGACACGGACCTCGAGGATGATGAAGACAACCTTTCATCATCTGTTCACAATTCCCCCAACCCTCCTCAGCCTCT